CCAACTTGGTTGAACACTGCCAGGGATGGGGCAGCCACAGCTTCTGTGGGCACCCTGTGCCAGCGCCTCAGCACCCTCACAGTAAATGGTTATTATCGTATATGTACTGCAAATGACATCTGTTTAGAATGCTTAGACGTATGGGGAAGGAAAGGGTACCAGTGCATGGGTTTATGATGGTGCATTTTAAGAGCTGATCAGTTCAGCTCAGTTCAACAAAATAAAAAAATTTAAACAAGGGGAAGACTAGTTACACTAATGGCAATTTGATGTTTTCATCACCAATATGAAAACTGTATGTCTAAATATACAACAAGCTTTGCCAGATAAGTGTGCCTTGTGTAACTGCCATAAAAGAAAGCTTTTTATGTTCTTATGCGAGCCAGGTGAACCTGAATCCCAGGTGCTCTGTGTGCTTAAAGGTACTGTTCAGAGAAATCAATGCAGTGGAACAGGCAGATTTGAGGACAGAACTTGGCAGCCATTGTGTCACTGTTAGGCAGTGCTCAAAATCACAGAATCATAGAATAGTGAGGGTTGGAAAGGGCCTTAAGATCATCCAGTTCCAACCCCCCTGTCATGGGCAGGGACACCTCACACTAAACCAGGTCACCCAAGGCTCTGTCCAACCTGGCCTTGAACACTGCCAGGGATGGAGCATTCACAGCTTCCCTGGGCAACCCATTCCAGTGCCTCACCACCCTTACAGTAAAGAACTTCTTCCTTATATCCAATCTAAACTTGCCCTGTTTAAGTTTGAACCCATTAGCCCTTGTCCTGTCACTACAGTCCCTAATGAAGAGTCCATCCCCAGCATCACTATAGGGATTCAGACCAGTGAAGCTGTTTGACCAGTTAACTGACTTGGATATCTCTTCATGAGCACCTAAATATTCCTCCAAAAGAATATTTATCTTTCTGAAAGAGGCCTCTTGACCATGCAAACACCCTCCTGTCAATGGCTTGTTTCTCTTTTCCCTGAATCCCTGCCATTTATTCTCCGTGACCACCCTCCCTTATAAGCTGGCACCCACAGTCCCCAGTTACTGCAGACCTTGCCAGCCAGAATCAGTGTTCCTTGTTGGAGTCCTGACTGTGACTGAGATGCTCAGTCCAAAGAATCTGTCGTCTTGTTTGTGCAGCTCATCCAGGCTGACATCTCTCTCCTCCAAGGCAAGAAGCATGCTTGCTTTGAGGGATGTGCATCAATTCCAGCTACTGCTTTGCCTCTTTAATGTCACAGAAGTTCAAATATGAGTCTGAGTTCATGCAGTCAAGACTGTCTAGAAGGTTGTATCAAAGGCTCTGTTTACTCCATGAAAACCTGAAGAGGCTGGTGCACTCTTTCCAGTCACAAGGGACCACAAGGCTTTGAGACAAAACCAGAGTTCCTCAAAAAACCTTGGATAAATCTGATGTGTTGGCAAAATGTAGTCCTTAACGTATTGTAACAATTCCCAGGAATCCCAGAGTGCTTGTTATACAGCAGTGAATTATGCCTTACAGCATCAAAGCGTGCCGTAATAAACATAACCGCTTCTCTGATACAAATATGCTTAAGTTCTGAACTGGATCCATATTTCAGAGGTCTCCAAGAATGTTCATCACCAGTCTATATTTCAAGTTGATCTGTTGATCTCTTTTCTTTGTAAGGATATGCTGTTTTCACCATTAATATTTCCTCCTCCTGAAAAGTGTGCATCATCATAGTGTAACCCAGCATTTCTGTGGTACATTTTCACTAGTTGGCTTCATTTTCTAATTGCTAGTAAATGGATTTCTGAGTTATTGCAGGTTTTTACTGATGACATTTCATGTTTTCTCACCTCTTTTCAATGGCAGCTGTGAACATTTTAATTGTTCTTGAAGCACAGGCAAAATGACCTCTGTCATTTTGGGTTTATCCTTGAATATCATCAAGGGTTTACCTTGAAAAAACCTTGAAAATCACGGGTTTACCTTGAATAAAAGTCTTTGTAATTTCTGAACATTTGGGGGAGTTGGGAAACACATTTGTGTTAGACACAACAAGGGTATTTAATTATTAAAGGAATCTCTAGCACAGCAATATTGAAACTGATTAAAACAGTATTGTTTGTCTCAGCAAGAATTAGCTTAGATAACCTTCATTTTTATCTATAGGTGTGGATGTCCATTTTTATCTGCCTTTCCTACTTCAATGCACTTGTGCCAAATGCAATATAATAGTTGGGAAAAAATGCGTATATTCTTACCTGTATCTATAGGGAATAAAACAAACATACAGGATCAGACCCTTGAATTGGAACTAGATGATTTTAAGGTCCTTTCCAATCCTAACTGTTCTATGACTGACGTAATAAAAATGGTCAGAAAGAAAATGTCAATGAGGTATTCTTGGTGTAGCCATGTGTCTGCAGCATTGCTTTCAGCAATGGTTTGACCTTACCGTTTTGGGGGGTTCTGATTGGAATAACCTAGGTCAACTACATTTTATAGGGGAAAAAAAAAGGGAGGAAGCTTCACTATCAGTGCTCTTCTGTCTGAAATTTTTTCTTGTAGAATATTTGAGCAATATGTGTTTGAGATACATTCATTCAGTTTTGGTTACTGTCTGGGTTGTGGTTGATTCCTCCTTCACTGAACTTAGATCAAGAGAAGGAGAAGCCTGAACTCAGTCGTCAGTTCAGCTTGAGGCCTGAGTCACCAAAAAGCTCACTAGATATCATAGAGTCATAGAATCAACCAGGTTGGAAAAGACCTTTAAGATCATTGAGTGCAACCATTCCCCAGCACTGCCAAGGCCACCATTAACACTGAGGGCATCATGTACATGATGTGTGAACACTTGCAGGGATGGTGACTCCAGCCCTGCCCTGGGCAGCCTGTTCCAATGCCTGAGCACCCTCTGGGGAAGGAATTGTTCCTCAGCTTCATCTAAACCTGCCCTGGTGCAGCTTGAGGCTGTTTCCTCTTGTCCCATCCCTTGTTCCTTGGGAGAAGAGATGGATCCCACCTCACTACAACCTCCTGTCAGGCAGTTGTAGAGAGTGGTAAGGTGCCCCTGAGCCTTCTCTTCTCCAGACTAACCCCCTCCAGGTCCCTCAGCCATTCCTCATCAGAATTATATCTGGGCTGGATGCTCAGTATTGCTGAAGTGACAACAGCTAATCAGTTAAACACTTCGAAGTGGATATTTTGCTCCCAGGTGTTATTAATCACAACTGACATGTCTTGTGGAGTTGTGCATTTGTCTATTTAAGAAGCTCCCTATCAAAATGCATTTCATCTGCTTAGCTACTGAGCTTGGTGTGGTCCCTTTGGGTGTTGTACTTTTATATTTTACTGATAAATGCCTCAGCAGTTGAACAGCTTAGCCCCGCACTGGGGAGCACTACCCAGCTTCCAGATTGGGAATTAATGTTTGCAGAGGTTTCATAGGTGGGACTTGTGCATCTCAGTAATTCCCTGTACATCATCCAGCAATTTCTTTCCATATATGCCCTTTGGTTCTAGAAGCACAGCAGGTAATAACCATAAATGTACAATTTACTGTAAATATTTAATAACTATGAATGATTGATGAGCAGATTTTTAAGCAAACTGAGAATTGCATGAAGTAAAGACTATCTTTGTGTAGTTTTCTAAGCACATATCATATGGGCTTTATTGTGTTATTAGGATGCTTGCCTGAGTGGTATTTTCATTTAAAAGCTTAGCACATGGGTAATAAACAGAAAAAATACATTTTTATTTGTCATATTTCCATAGTGATAAAGTTAATCTAGATGGACTTCCTTGTGACTACAAGAATTTCTATAGCTGCCAACTTCTGTCTCATTGTGAGGAATGCCTTCTTTATGGATTATTTTAAAGCTGTCAAGAGAACATGTTTTCTGCAGCACAGCACTAATAGCTGGCTGTGTTTCAATGGCTGCTTTCACCTCTTTTGCTTTCAGTTTTTCCTCATTGCCTTTGATCTCCCTGGGGCTTTGAAGCCCAAGTAATGCCAGATAATGCTCTGATATTAGCAGGGCTCTTGCTTCTCTAAAAGACTTCATTACCAAAGCTGCTTTGTGATTCATGGGCCCCGTGGACAGTTTGGGATCTCTCCCAGCTTGGTGAGGAATCACTTTGCCAATAGGTGCCACTGTTGCTCTACACACGCATCTGAACCATCAGTGTCCTTCAGTTGAATATTCAACGTTGAAAAAGCAAACCTCAACCACAGTGACTGAAATGCTGCAGAAGTAAAACTCTGGACAGACCATGGCCAGAGGCTTGTCCATGCCAAGACTAAAGTATATGCTTTATCTTGCTACTAAAAATAAATATATAACTGCTAGTTTTGAGCAAAACTGATGAAGAGATAAATATGTACTCAGTGAAATACAGATATATTTAATCTAAGCCTTTAACTTGCTACAAGTTAATTGTTAAGCCCCAGACTAACAGTAGCTGAACCTTGCAGATAGCTCCTCAGGACCAGATGTGGTTTAGATGCAGAAGCTGCACAGCAGTGTAATAAGAATTTGGATTCTGCCAGCATTTTCTACATAGGTCCTTCCCATGCTTTCTCGACTGAGTAAAGTGCCAGGGTGGCCCATCCGGCAGTATAAAGGACACCCACAACAATTTCTTCTAGGTTTGCTGTTTGGTAATGTAAGGTTGGCTAATGCAGTTCACTTTGCAGCTTATCTACCACTAAGTGCCATTCAGGATGTAGAGTCAAGGACAGTCAAGGTCTTCTTGTTTATGCAGTGAGGGAAACCTTGGTTCCCCTTGTCCTTAGGCAGGCAGCCATTCCATATGTTTACTTTTTTGTTGGATGTTTTAGGCACTTAATGGAATAACACAAGTTCCTTTTCTACCCTTTCTTTAAGCAAGTGGATAGCAAGCTATGTAAAAATGGAAAACACAACTAAGGACAAAGCAATTAAGATATTTATATCCTCTCAAGTTCAGTGCTGTTCTTGGTTTTTTTCCTTTCTGCAACTATTAATTGACTAGAAACCAACAGATTAGGTTGTTTTTTCAGTGGTTTAATATGTTCTGAAAATTTCCCAGCCATCTGCAGGTCAGAATGCAGCCAGCAACTTGTTCTAACTAGTAGACAGCCCTCTGCCTAGATAACCTAATTCTCATTGCTTCTGCATGGAACAGATCATTCCCACATCCATGAGCAAAGCTATATTAAGTAGTACTTAAGATCACCCTAAGCAGTTTAGACAGAGGCGTCCCTTTGCTCTGCTGGCTCACACCAGTCAGCTGATGACTTGCAGATATTTCTAAGCCTTTCATAGTCCAGGATTCCACTAACATTTTGGGGAGGACTTCCCTGGATGAAAGGGAGAACAGGGGTTTTAGGTGGTCGTCTTCAATGATGAGTAGCAAAAGCAGGAATCGGTAGGGTTTCATAGGAAGTGGTGTAAACACTGTTCATCACTCCAGCTTCTTTCTTGTGCCATTTTTTCATCAGGTGCTCAAGAAGGCCATAGTTAGTGGGTGGTTCTGAGACAGGAAATGATTGAATGTTAGAAATGATAGAATAAAACTTTTGATCCTGGTGTTTTCACTCCACAGATGCCATAGGGAATACTTGTACTATTTGGACAGGAGATTAAGGACAAAACAGATCTTTTTGTTCCCCAGGCATGCGTGCCTACCCTCCCGCTGGAAGGGAAAAGTCACTCTTAAATATTGATATGACAGCGTTAATTGTATAAATTAAATGAGTCCTGATTCTTTGTAGTCTCTCTGGTAGGTACTTAAAAAGTTAACAGAGATGTATGTTAACATACACTTAAATTTAGAAACATAGTAATACTCTGTGAATTCTGCTGCTAGATGTGTCTCACAGCTCTCCTTGTTTTCAGCTGGTGTCTCGCATTATTTAATAAGAGAGAGAAATCTGTTCATTTGCACTACCCTTCACTGCTTCCTGTGGTGATTAAGTATTGTGTGGGCAACATTTCCACTTCATCAATCCAAAAACAAGCTACTGACTGGGCAAGAAATCAGCCAGAATTCACCACAAGATCCATTACAGAATTAAAATAGGAGGTTCCTGGCTCCAACTCTATATATTGACTACTGCACCATGTTCCATCTGATTGAATTAATAATGCCAAAAACTACCAGTAATGGGGAAATCTGATTTCTGAGGAATCCAGGAAGACTTGGGTCCACTCCACTTGCGCAGGGGAGGCAGCACAGGGTTGTAACTGTGTCTGTTGTATTTATCATCATACTCCGATACTAAATTGCGGTTCCTTGGCTCTTCATGATGGGTGAAACAGTGCTGCCTTGGCAGGCCCTGAAATGAGATGTACATGGAACCACACTGATTGGTTTTGTACACAGGCCTCAGAGGGTTTAGCATGCTTTAGAGTCAGACTATCCTCCCAGTGATATCACAAAATTTGGCCAGTACTTACATTACTTAGAATTTAATCCCTGAAAGTAATGACATTTGCATTTCAAGTAAAGTAAATTTCCAGTTAAATTAAGTAACTACATCAGTATGTAATGAGAACTGATTGGTCTCATTTGAACACATGCTTCATAGATTTGCAGATACATCTAAGAAGCCTACAAATGAAAAGCTGATTGTCTGATGCTGCTTAAGTGTTTCAGTATGCACTGGCATTACGTTTACTGCCTTCCAACTGTCTGTCAGGAGAGATGATAAGAATATTTGGCAGTGGAGAACCACCTTGGAGGAAAGGCACATTCTAGCAGCTGATCCTTGTGGACAAAGCAAAAGATCTGGGACATGTTTAACTGCAGTTTGTTCCTATGAAGTGGAGGTGTGCTGACGGAAATAATCCTCTTTTATCAGCAAACTCATATTAAAGCCCAGGGAATGTCCTGAAGACACAATCCCCAGTCCTAGGTGGTAGTAATGTGCTGGTTTTCTTCATGTCCCCTGGCCACCCTCCAAGGCAGAGACTGGGAAACAACCAGAGAGTACCAAGAAGCATGTGCCATTGCTACCTCTGGAAGGCATACTGCCTGAATCAAACACAAGGGAGCTCTGGATCATGTGAATTGGCCATGGAGCTGCAGCATCTTCTTTTACACATTTTGAAAATGTGAATTTGTTAATTTGTTATTCCTTTTCCTTACCTCCATTTTTTGCACCATGGCTCTCCTTAGTGTTTGGTCTGGTTTGTGATCTGGGAAGGAAACGAAGTCTTTTCTGTATATGCTGTGGTTCAGTTCCCCAGTGTCTTTCCTGAACTAGAGAGATATATGACATTCAGTAGAGCTAAGGCAAGCTGATAATTACAGGAGCTACATTTAAAAAGCACTTATTTGGACAGAGGTCTGTGCTGTGTACTTTTTCTCAGCGGGTAAAGTCAGCTGGTATAACCCACCACTGTAAAATTCTGATTGATTCCTTGGTGTAAATGGAAGACACTGCACAGCCCCGGAAGAATTATTCATGGTGTTAAACACTTAACCCTGCCACATGAACTAATAAACCCTTTTGGGGGGTTTATTTTGTCCCTTTGTTGCCACTTCTGCTACAGCAGGTGAGCCTCTGCAGTATAGTCTAGCATTTTGCTCCGGGGAAAAAAAAAATCTAAAGGAAGTCATTTTAGCAGAGTCAGGAGGATTTGCCCTCTGCAGCTCTACTATTGAATCCAGCTGGCATGTTTTGACAAAGTTAAATGTCTAATGCTGAAATTCAGCTTGGCTCTTAAGCAGGCCATGCAATCTGCAAGCAGCTCTGCGAGCAAAGATGTTTACACCAGCAATTTACACCAATATCCAAGTTATAAAAGATTCTCTGATACAAGTAATAGTCAGTATTAACTTACGGGTTAATGAAGCCTTTTTATGTAATGTTGGTATATATACTGTTGTATATAAGCTGTAAAGCAGCCTGAAGTGACTGCCAAAAGAGCTACAGCATTTTTAATTGGCTGAGGTTACGTGGAGTGGGAACCACACATTAACCTCTGCTCAGGCCTTGCTCTGTCCTGACTTAGGGAGAAGAATGGCAGATCATGAACAGAATGACATAGGCCAAGCAAGGTGCTCATCCTTCTCCCTTTCATTTACTCTTCCGAGATAAGCCTGGGCTGCAGCTCATGACTACAGCAGTACACTACCTCCACAGGGCTGGATCTTTCCCTTTTCCTGTCTTCCAGCCAGTTTCCAATGAGAACTTTAGTGGAATATCTGGGTTCAATTTTCCACGAGTCCTGGCCATCGTTTTGCGATGCTATCACATGTCTTCGTCTCAACAGCATCACCCCCAGTGGTTGGTGGAATTGTCCTTCAAGTTATGTGGGTGAAAGATTACTCAGTAGCCCAGCACTAAAACTAAGGCAGAAAGGGAGTGCTTCAGCAGCGGACCGCTTCTGCCTGCCTGTGTGCTGGGTGATGTGAGTGAGGCATGGAACTGCGTAGCCATGGAAACATTTGTGTTTGCTATTCCCCGGTGACTGTTGTTCCAGTAACCACATTCTACTTCCTGTTGACCAAAACAATGGCTCCTAACCCAGGAAAATCAGCTGGATATTTTCTCTAATACAGCTCAGAATCAGAGAACAGTGTATTGTTCCACAACACCCTGATATAAAGTACATACTCCTCTATATTATAAAGTACATACTCTATAGACTGCACCACACACACCTGCACACACAGTCTCTCATCATGATCAAATTTTATTTTTAAGAAGTGAAATAAACCAGGATGTCCATTCAAAATTATGTTCTTCTTTATTGACATAACTAAAGATAAGGGCTTGCAGCATGGTACAAACTTCTAGAAGGTTTGCATGTTCCATATTCCAACTAACAGCTGGAATGGGGTTCTGATGAGCCTTGTATGTCATTGTTAGTGCTGCTCTTGATTGACTACCGATCACCTGATATTCAATATCCTAAAAGGACATTTTCCTAAGTTGAGGCATGAACAGACTCGTGGAATCTAAGATGTTTGCTATAAGCTTTTTAGGAAGTTAACAATGCTGTCCAATCCCCTTTTTCCAGAGGGGAATGACAAACCACAGTAATCATAGAGGCTTATGATTCCATGGAATCCATCCTCGAGGTGGTACCAGGTCACTGGAACACCATTGTCCTCCAGTCTCTTCTTGTAAAGCAAGCCATCGTCCCTCAGCACATCATACTCACAAGTCAGGATGAAAGACTGAGGCAGCTGCTGAACCACAGCATCTTCGGCCAGCAGCGGGCACAGGTTGGGCTCACAGAATCTCTTCACAGTCTCATAAACTTCAGCAATAAAATCAGTGGACTTACATGGCTTCACACCTCTGTCCTTAAATTTTTCGGGGATGTGATCTGGACTTACCCATTTCCTATACTTCAGCCTCATATCTGGAGGAATATGAGAGCCCTCCAAGACCTCTTGCATATGCAGTGCATGCCCATTGAGGTACTGCAAAGCAAAGAAAGCAGCACGTTCTCGGAATAAGAGAGGGACTCCCCGATTCTGGTGATAGGATGGTAAATTGAAGTCCAGGGCCTGCAGGCCTGGGTAGATCAAGACCTGAGCACGCAGGCTGGGGAGGTCTGATCTACCTGCAAGGGTCTGGCTAACAGCAGCTGCCAGATTGCCCCCAGCACTGTCCCCACAGACAGTTACATTGGCAGGATCCACGCCATAGTGCTCTGCATTCTTCATGAAGTGTATGGTGGCAATAAGACAGTCTTCATATGCATCAGGGTATTTGTGTTCAGGGGCTAAACGGTACCTAGCACACAGAAAGAGACAACAAAAGTAAGAGAAGGAAATGTTGTTGGTATTATTCAGAAAATGGTATCTTATGCTGTCTTCCAGCCCTGTCATTTTGTTTTTTTTTTCCTCTAGGTGAGGATACCCATTACCCCCTGAGCAGGCATTCCTCACTTAGTGACTGCAGGTAGGCTGTAAACTATAAACTCAATCACCAGGATTCAGTAAAGTAGGATTCTCTTTTGATAACAAGTCTGAGTGAGACTTTGTACATTTCTTAGTCATGCTGAAAACTCCCTGTGTATCCTTGACAGGATCATTTAATCATTTTGTGCCTCTGCTTCCTACGTGTAAAGTGGGAGTAATGCAGTGTGATTATTCTCTTTCTATAAATACAGTTATTTCGAGGACCTTATTCATACATTCAGCACAAGGAAGATTTTTTTTTTAGCCAAGTTTTTTATTGACTTTTATAGATTTTCTTAGTGTGACGAATATTTCCATTTGGGTCTTTTCTGAGTGTATCAGGGCCTGAACAGTCATGAGCTGTGATATCTCCATTATCACTATTTGTCTCTTTATGGACTTAACGGAATTCAACAGAAATTTCTCTGAAAAAAAGCACGTCTCCAAATCCAGTGCAGCTGCTGTGACACCACAGCAACAATCACCTCCAAAGAGTAGAAGAAGGCAGGCACTTACTGAACAGATACAACTACTGAGACACTTTCTCTGGATAGGTAGCGACATACTTTTTCATAGGTATCTGGAAAAGAAATGTTTTCATTAGTGCTGTGCTATTGCCCTAATCCTTGGGACAGCTGGGGGATGTTCATTCCGGAAGGGCATGCATTTGTCTTCAGATTTCCTCCCATATCCCATGGTGAACCCTCCACTTATTTCAATTTTATAGAAAGATGAGAACGTTCTTTCTACATCACTACAGTCCTTCCAGCCAGTATCTTACCAAGACTTCCAAATACCCAGCCTCCTCCATGAAAGAAGATGAGAGCTCTCCTTCGCCCATCAGAGGTAGTTTTAGGCTGATAAACCCTCACAGGTACTTTGTTAAACTGCAGATCCTGGATAAAGAGCTTTGGATCCACCCCTAGTTTCCGTCCCTGTCGCACATATCGGCCAAATGTGATTTGATTGCAAATTCCCGTCTTCTCCAAAATCCTTCCCTGTTAAAGGTAAATGAAATTAAGGCTTCTTTACAGGTCTTGAGTCAGCCAACTTATAAAAACTCTGCATCATACTTATACTGAACTGTATTTGAGGGAAAATTTAAACACAGAAGGGTAATGTTGTAAAATACAAATACACTGTAAGAAGATACAGCAATAACAGCACAAGATGGTAGAATAACTACCACAAGGGCTGTTCCCAGAGGAGGATAATGGCCATGCAAATGTATTGCAAACCCTCTCTAAATGGCTTCCTGTATTCTAAGTACTGCTCAGAGAGCTCCTTCCCATTGCTTGGTTAGTCCTTTGGTTTTGCTGTAATAAATCCGTGGAAAGCAGTGAGGAAAAGTAACTCCACAGTTGGTTTTCTTGGTAGGAATGCCCAGTCTTATGGAAGTGAGAGATCCCCTCACTGAGAGGAGCCAGAGAGAAAGCCAGAAAGGAGTATTTAAGTTTGCCTCAATTAGTTTTAGTTTCTAACATATCAGAACCACTGGAATGTGAAGAATCAGACTGAAAAATCTAGTCTTCACATACAGCAATTTGATTTCTCTTGTCTGATAAAAATAAAGCTCTTTGATTCAGAAAAAAACCCAAACCCACAACAGTTTTCCCAAGCTCTTGTATCCTACAGACTGTAAAAAGTATACTTGCATTACTCAAGTCCTATGTCACATCAGAAATTTGATACAGGCTATTCAAAGTGGCTGCCTTGGAGAACACAGTTGTCAGCATTGTCCTGCACACCTCTGTGATAGCAACATGACAACAACAATGAAATGTCCTATGTTGAAACAGCAATAAAACTTCTAAGAGTTCTTCATTGCATAAACTAATATTCCTGAATTAGACCATAAAACTCAATGAATTTGCAAAACTCAAGTACTGAGTTGCATTGTGCAAATTAGTTACCACTTTTTATTTGCACAACATTTACTGAGCACAATCAAGAAAGTTCCTTTCCTGATGCTACTGCAATGCTTCTCCATGCTGTATTCAGGAATCTTATGTGAAAAGTGAAGAAACAAGAAATTGGGAACCAAATTAATTAATGGAATAAAACAAACTGTTACAGTTCAGTTACTAAACGATTTTAAATACTCAAAGAGAGTCTGTCTTTATCCACTCCCTTATTGTCACCTGGTAGTGGGATTCAGGAGAGCTAGGTACTTTAGTCAGTAACTTTCAAGAGGATGTAAATGGTGTAGGTATGAAACAGCATGAAGAACAAGTCTTTATGATAGCAAAAGTGATGTGTTTGTCGGCTAAAGGAGAAAACTGAAGATTTAAAACCATTAAAAGATACAACTAGTGACACGAGAAGAGTTTAGGGGAGCTCTAATGCCGTTTATGCAATGCTGTAAAAGGGAGTCCACGGATTAAGTAAAGCAGCCCTAACCGGATTGTGTACCATCAATGTCAGCCCCCTTGAAGGGCTGCAGTGTTCCTTGTGCAAGGTGACTTCGGCTAAAGCAGAGGGCAGTTATCAGCCCAAGCACCAGCCCAGCTCTCAATTGGAGACTTCAATCAGCCCCGCGGTTTGGCAACCTCCGCTAACGCGCCTCAGCACGCCGCTCGGACCGGGAGGTGGGTCCCGGTGAGGTGCTGCCCCGCGGGGAGCCGCAGGACATGCGGATCTGAACCCAGCCTCTTGGGGTTTTGTCTTCCTAAGCGCAGCCCGCGGGCCGCGGCTTGCCCGCCCTCCCGGCGAGGGGATGCCCGGCCAGGGGCCGGACCTGCGAACCCTCGGGCTCAGTGGAAACAGTCCCCCGTTCCCCGGAACCACAAGCGGGCGGAGGGCGCGACTCACCAGGGCCGCCGTGCCGAGCAGGACGGCCAGGACCAGGCGCAGCTTGGCGGGCTGGTTCACCCCGGGCGGGATGTCGTAGCTGGGCAGGGAGAGAAGGACCGCGGCCAGCACGGCTGCCAGCGCCGCCAGGCCCAGGAGCAGCAGCAGCAGCAGCAGCGCGGGCAGCAGCGCCATGGCGCGGCGGCGGTCCCCGGGGGCTCCCGGCCCGCGGCGGGGCCCGGCAGCTCCCGCCCCCCGCCCCGCTCCGAACCGCGGCCCGGGCCGGCGGCGTCACGGGCCGTTTGTGACAGCTCCGCAAAGCCGCCCGCGGGGTCATGGTACGGGCGGCGGCGAGCCCCGGGGGGCGGCCGCGCGGGAGCCGCGCAGTAATCTCGGTTCAAGGAGGAGGCGGTGCGTGACCTGCGCGCCCGGCAAGGGCGCTCCGCAAAGCCGCGCGTCCCCGCGGGCGGCAGGGAGTGCGACCGGGCGCTTTGCCGGGTGCTGCCGTTACCGAAGAGGCGGGGGAGTCCGCAGCGCCGGCGGGTTGCAGCGCACCCTGTGTCCCTGACGGCTTCATCGCAGGAGGCAGTTCGTAGTTTGTCCCTGAATTTAGGGATTCTTTGTCTAACGGCAGCGTGCAGGAAGCTGAGGGAAGGGCTGCCTCTGCGCTGTGACAGCTGACTGGAAGACGGCGTTTCTTTTTGGAAGAATTTCTGATTTCCTCAGTTTGGGGATTATCTTTTCCTTAGGCTGTTAATTTCTCTGTTTTACTATTTTGAGTATGCTTATGACTGTTTCTCCTTGCTTTATCAGCAGAATATAATGGGACATCACGTCAAGGAATACACTGCCTTGTCCTGTAAAGGAAACTCAAAGTATGAAGAACATCACAACATAAATTCTAAAAATACAATACTGGGGGAACCATTCTTTCAAAGAACAGAACATTTTGTTTCGTATTTTCTGTCTCTAAGCTAAACCTTCCAGTGTACACAGATCAAGTGTCCAGTTCACTGATCCTTACTTTCTAAAGCCGATGTTAAGTGTTCCCGCTCAACCAATATGTCTTGTCCTGAGCTTCAGTGGCATAATAGAAACATCACTAAATAGGAGTTTGTAGAGCTACAGTTAGTTCAAGTTCAGGGCAGCCCTTACTTGCCTCGCGCAGGGTGTCCTCAGTTAACTCAGGCCTCTAGTGCTCTTCCAAATGTGGATCTGTCAAGCCCACTGAAAATCTGCTGATTTTCCTTACCAAGACTTCATCTCTGCCTGTATTTCCAGAGCTTTCCTCTAACTTTTTCTTACAGCTCACTATGTACCTACCTTGTGCTTTTTAGCTAAATAAAATTAAGTCATGCTTTGGAGCTCATGAAATGAACATCACAAAGACCCTGGCTGCAATTCACAGGAGTTATTTAATCCAAGTCATTCTAAAGACATTATTCATATAGAATTACATAATTTGGTAATGAAATACAAGGAATCAATCAGATAGATACTGACTTTAAAGAAAAGGGATTGAAACACAGTATGTGGAAAATACTAAAGCTGTAGACACTGAACTGACAAGAGTCTCATGAGGACAAAGACCAGATCTGAAGTTCATGAATATGAAAATAGGTATTCTTACACATCGCATTTTTGCTGACAAGTGCTACCTGAGGTTTGGGAGCCTAAACAGTGGGAAATCTACAAAGAAGTTGTTTTCACAGGCCTTTTATGAATTTAACAATTCTGTCCAATCCCATTTTTCCAGATGGGAATGACAAACCACAGTAACCATAGAGGCTTATGATTCCATGGAATTCTTCCTCGAGGTGGTACCAGGTCACTGGAACACCATTGTCCTCCGGTCTCTTCTTGTAAAGCAAGCCATCGTCCCTCAGCACATCATACTCACAAGTCAGGATGAAAGACTGAACCACAGCATCTTCGGCCAGCAGCGGGCACAGGTTGGGCTCACAGAATCTCTTCAAACTTCAGCAATAAAATCAGTGGATTTACATGGCTTCACACCTCTGCCCTTAAATTTTTCGGGGATGTGATCTGGACTTACCCATTTCCTATACTTCAGCCTCATATCTGGAGGAATATGAGAGCCCTCCAAGGCTTCTTGCATATGCAGTGCATGCCCATTGAGGTACTGCAAAGCAAAGAGAGCGGCATGTTCTTGGAATAAGAGAGGGACTCCCTGATTCTGCTGATAGGATGGTAAATTGAAGTCCAGGGCCTGCAGGCCTGGGTAGATCAAGACCTGAGCACGCAGGCTGGGGAGGTCTGATCTACCTGCAAGGGTCTGGCTAACAGCAGCTGCCAGATTGCCCCCAGCACTGTCCCCACAGACACATTGGCAGGATCCACGCCATAGTGCTCTGCATTCTTCATGAAGTGTATGGTGGCAATAAGACAGTCTTCATATGCATCAGGGTATTTGTGTTCAGGGGCTAAACGGTACCTAGCACACAGAAAGAGACAACAAAAGTAAGAGAAGGGAATGCTATCACTGTAAATACAATTTTCCTACAGCACCTTGGCTTTCCCTGTGTTGTTTGGAGTATTTTATCTTCAGGAAAATAACAAACACCTGTGTTATTATCAGCTGAACAGGTATTTGTCCAGCAAGTTATCACAGATAAATGATAGCCTGCAGGATGAAGTTGCAAAGACATGGCATAGTTGGGATCTTCTCAGAACAGCACTGATCAGAACTTAAACTATACAGGTTGCTGTTATACTTCTGGTTTAGACTGCATTTGGCTTGTGGCTGAAGTAATTTAACCAGTCCGTACCTCACCTGTATTTAGGATATTTCCCCTTGTGAATTATTCTTTTTTATTTTTCTGTGTTTATTTGAGTAACTGGGACAGAGGTATTTTTCAGTACTATTAGTATTAGAATATATTAGTAATTGATGCTTACTGTTAGAAAGCACCTTGAAGTTTGTAGAGGGATTACATTCACCTGATAGATCACTGAATGAACCCTTGAAGCCGGTTTCTTAGTTCTCAGCACATTTCCAAAGTCTTCTGGACAGGATTCCTTCTTTTTGTGTGCTGCCAGCGTAGCTCCATGCTGGAAAGTACACGAACCTTACTTTGGAGTCTCTGCACTCTCCCTGCATTAGCAGATTGGTGTGGGGAGGAAGAAATTAAAACCATGCCCTTGGAATTCTGTCTGACCATCTGGGATCCTGGGGAAACGGTTACTGAGGAGAGGGAGTGTTCCCACAGTATGCGTTAACACTGTGGTGCTAAGTGAAAAGAAGCAAAAAGACTTCCATAGGGTTACACCAACGTAACCCACCCAATTAGTACAACCACCGAGTTACGTTCCCTGGCAGTGTAACTGCAGATGTTTTCATGGGAATCTGCAAAACGCCGGGGGACCGCTACGGGCCCGCTCCGTTTCCACATGCCACAGGCAAAGAAAGGCGGGCGCCTCCTCCTCCCGCCCTGCCGCGCCCTTCCCGCCCGCCACACGCCGCCTCCCCTCGGGGCCGGCAGCCGCGGGAGCGCTCACCGGGCCGCCGATGGCGGCGATGCTCAGCCGGGTGCTGGGCTTCCCGCCAGGTTTCGGGGTAGAATTACCCCACCGCCTCCAGCAGCGCTGCCGGGGAAGGGAGCATTGCGGCGCGGCCCGCCCTGCCCCACCGATGCTGCGGTACAGCCAGCCGCCGCCGTGGAAGGTGGCGGCAGGAGGCGTGCGGGGCCGGTATATCTCACCGGCACCCGGCCCAGCCGAGCGTCCGACATCCACAGCTGTGGGTCCGGCCCCGGCTTCCTCCCGGAGACCGCGTAGCGGGTGAAGGCGATCTCGCTGCACAGCCCAGTCTTCTCCAACAGCTTCCCCTGTTCGAAGAGAAGGGGGAGAGTGCGGGTGAGCGGAGGGCGGGCTCCGCGGGCACAGTCAGCAGCCGCCTTAGGGGAGGCTGCCGCAGGCCACGCTAGGGTGTTCACCGTGAGGGAGACCCTGCCCTTGGCGAGGCTTGAGGAGCACCCGGGCTTCGTGTTGGTGAGGTTCAACCTGTTCCAGAGCCTCTCGCCTCTACCCTGGCCTTGAGCGGCCGCTTCGGTTTAGACCTCACCAGAAAGGTGGTGCAGGAGAAGATGGAGCCGTGGCGGTGTCCTGCGAGGCGCTGCACCTGGGTGAGCAGGGCTGCTGTGGCGCTGTGTGCCTGAGAAGGCAGGGCCATGTGTCCGACTCACACTGTCAGGCAAAATGGCTTAGGGGAGAAAAGAGTTTCCATCTCAGCGTCACCAAGTCCTGTGCTTTCCTAGCAGCTTCCCATCACTTACAGCCGTATACAACCCAGAAGTCATTCCTCTAAGGTTTCCTGGGAGTCTCCAGTTTTATCTGCTGAAGTGTTACTGGAAAGCCCCAAGACTGGCCTAAAACCATCAACTGTGCTTAGGTGAAATGGAAATCAAACCAATTTCACTTTTTATAAATAATCAATTTAAACTTCATTAAGGAAGCTCAGCTAGTTCTGCTTGGACACTTAAGGTTGACTTCATCCCTATGTAACAGGGAAAACCTGACTGAAACTCTCTGAGGTGTAGCAGAAATGATTTTACCAAAATTGTCCTCTAAAGTCAGCCCCCCAAAAATGGAAGCTGTCATTTAAGTCTTGATGCAGCCAGCAGGATTCTAGTATTTACACATAAGCTTACAAAAATAACACCTAAACCACATTTCTGAGAGAAATCATGGCAGAGTAACTCACCATAGCCGATGTACCAATCACAAGAACAAGGATAATTTGAAGCTTTCCAGGATGATTCACTCCAGGAGGGATACTGAAATTGGAGTTACTGGATTGAATCATTCCCTTAATTGCTAGTACAAAAGAAGCAATAAAACCCACCAGCAGTACCACTGGCAGTATATAAAAAAAAATGCCATGTCGCTTAACTAAATGTGAGGTGTCTTTATGCCTGTCTTTGATGCACCTTTCTCAGCTGAAAGTAAGCCTTAGAGCAGTCCAAGTTGCAACTGATCTCTTGGGTGCCACACACCTTCAAGTCCTTATAAATGTTGTGTAAGGTACCAGCATGTGTTACATTGGAAAAGAGTCAAGAGGAGAATGTATTTAATAAACTATTTAGCTTTATGTTAATTGTGGGACTGGTGCATAGCCTAGTATTCTACATGGTGTCCTTGACATAAAAAGGACATGGAACTGTTGGAACAAGTCCAGAGGAGGGCCACGAGGATGATCAGGGGCTGGAGCACCTCCCGTATGAAGCTAGGCTCAGAAAGTTGGGGCTGTTCAGACTGGAGAAGAGAAGGCTTCGTGGAGACCTCATAGCAGCCTTTCAGTATCTGAAGGGGGCTGCAAGGATGTTGGGGAGGGACTCTTCATTAGGGACTGTAGTGATAGGACAAGGGGTAACGGGTTAAAACTTAAACAGTGGACGTTTATATTGGGTATAAGGAAGAAGTTCTTTACTGTAAGGGTGGTGAGGCACTGGAATGGGTTGCCCAGGGAAGCTGTGAATGCTCCATCCCTGGCAGTGTTCAAGGCCAGGTTGGACAGAGCCTTGGGTGAGATGGTTTAGTGTGAGGTGTCCCTGCCCATAGCAGGGGGGCTGGAGCTAGATGATCTTAAGGTGCTTTCCAACCCTGACTATTCTATGATTCTATGGTATTCTTGGATTGCAGATGATATAAATGATTGTTCAGAGATAGCAGTTAATTACTGAAGAAAGGTCTAGTCTATGATGGGTCGCTATTGACAATGAAAGCCAACTAAGGTGAAGGTTAAATTGTCTCTTGCGTCTTACATAAATTATCTCTTGGTTGATCTGCAGCAACAGCATATTGCTCCCTGTATTGTGGACATTATTTAAGTGGTTTAGAGGGTATAATTTTAACAAAGACATCTAGAAAAGAAAATGGGAACTAACATGTTGGGGAGAAGCTAATCTGCTCTGCAAAAGTAAATGTTTCAGTCTTATTTTGTTATTAGAGTATTTAAGCAGAGGACAGGTTTTTCAGCATACTTGTAAGTTTGTTAAGCGTAGGAAAACACATAGTTTCTTCCATTATAATTTAAACATAGCTGCCTTGGACAGTTGCAGTTTTCACTTCATTTATGTGAGTCTAAAATACCAGTTTCCTAGCCCATAGACATAGCTGGTGACTAGGAATCTTAAACTCAGATGCTACGTGTAGCATATATCACAGGCACTGCATTACAGCATTTTAACATCAGTATCTTTTTCCTTTGCCAAAATAAACCTTTGGCAAAGGAGAAAGATACTCAACCTTCTAGGAAGAATTAAACTGTTGATCATCATATAATAAAATGGGTCAGACCCAGTGTTGGTTTAAATTTTTACTTCATCTTTAATATTTACTGAGAGAATAGCAAGCGTCTAGTCTAAATAGATCATTAAAATAGGCAGACTGCACGTGGAATACTTCAAACAGCATGAAAAGAAACTTTCATAGCATTCTTGAAGTATCTTTTCCAGTGGTCACACTGGCAAAATTGCTCATAGATGTCCTATCTGAACCTTTTATATGGAATTTAGAAGCATAAAAGACTACAGAAAATTGGCAGTTCTTGCAGAAGGAAAGAAAATTGTTTCTATAAGCTTTTTAGAAAGTTCACAATATTGTCAAGACCTCTTTTTCCAGATGAGAATGACAACCAGTCAGTATGAAATGAATTTACGATTCCATGGAATCCATCCTCGAGGTGGTACCAGGTCACTGGAACACCATTGTCCTCCAGTCTCTTCTTGTAAAGCAAGCCATCGTCCCTCAGCACATCATACTCACAAGTCAGGATGAAAGACTGAGGCAGCTGCTGAACCACAGCATCTTCGGCCAGCAGCGGGCACAGGTTGGGCTCACAGAATCTCTTCACTGTCCCATAAATCTCAGTTGAACAGTCCAGTAGCACATGTGGTTTGTAGCCTCTGACCTTAAATTTTTCGGGGATGTGATCTGGACTTACCCACTTCCCATAATTTAATTTTATGTCCATAGGAATATGGGAGCCCTCCAAGACCTCTTCCAGGTTTGATACATTCCCATCTAGGTACTGTAACATATAGAAAGCAGCACGTTCTCGGAATAAGGGAGGGACTCCCTGATTCTGCTGATAGGATGGTAAATTGAAGTCCAGGGCCTGCAGGCCTGGGTAGATCAAGACCTGAGCACGCAGGCTGGGGAGGTCTGATCTACCTGCAAGGGTCTGGCTAACAGCAGCTGCCAGATTGCCCCCAGCACTGTCCCCACAGACAGTTACATTGGCAGGATCCACTCCATAGTGCTCTGCATTCTTCATGAAGTGTATGGTGGCATGAAGACAGTCTTCATACGCAGCAGGGTATTTGTGTTCAGGGGCTAAACGATACCTAGCACACAGAAAGTGACAACAAAAGTAAGAGAGGGAAGTATTTGTTTTAAATGTATTGCTGAAAACACTGGTTCTTGCAATCAGCAGGATTTTCTCTTTGATCATAAAATAAACTGCAGGTTGTTGGACCAGGTGGTGCAGATTAACCTGTTAGGATATCATCTGTTTAGGGCGTTTCCCAGGTATTTGACAACACAATAGTAGTCCACTGCAATCCTTTAGTCATTTTATGCTTTAGCTTTCCATGGGTCGGAGAGAAATAACAATACATCTGGTTTATGGCTTTGTTATAGTATAACTATATCCTCATAATCCAAATCATTATGTCAGTATGTTGATGATGATATTAGCTTGTCATTCATATTGTGCATCTATAAGCATCAAGCAGAGTTTTCTTGAATACGGATTAAGTAGGATATATGGCTTACTATCCATTTACTATCAGTTTTGAATTTGGAATTTGAAAACAGTGATTCAAAACTTTATTTTCCAGGTGGGTATCCCAAAGCATTATTTGTGATGTAGTCAGCAGTGAAAACTTAGCCAGAGTCATTCTTCAGTGGCTCCAAACAAGAACAGAGTGAATTTGTACATCACATGCTTGACAAGCCCCACAGAAACACATTCTCTGAGAACAGTTGTTGCTGTGGTTAGAGAAGCTGTAAGGTTATGTTTACATTGTATGAAATAATCCATAACAAACAGCATAAGGAGAGACTCACCCAACAGATGCAACCACAGATTCGCTTTCTCTGGCAATAGAGCGGCATAGCCTTTCATGGGTCTCTGAAAGAAACAGATTTGGTGGGTTTAGTTTGGTTTGGTTTGCCAGAGTATTAATTTTGTCTATTGCAGAAGTCAAAGAATTGCAAGAACAAAATACTCTCTAAGTTTCTCTGCCCCCTCCTACGTAGCTCCTCAGTTCTTTTGCACCTCCTCATATTCCTATTTCACTATTTACTTACTGTATTTTTTCCCCTTGTATCTTACTGTCCTTAAGAAAAAACACATAATGTATAGCAGATTCTTTCTTCTGACAGCCAGACTTAGGAGGCTGCATCTGTCATTATACTCCCAACTTCATAACTGCTACAAGGTCAAGCGACACTTCACCATTTATGAAGTAGGTACTTATTTAACTATATTAAAATATCTTTTTTTCTGTTAGATATCTTACCAAGACTTCCAAATACCCATCCTCCTCCATGGAAAAACATGACTCCTCTCCTTTGGCTGGCAGATGGAGCCTTAGGCTGATAAATTCGTACAGGCACTTTTTCAAACCACAGGTCCTTGATTAAGAGCTTTGGGTCCACTTGTAGAATCTTTCTATCTTGCATGTACCGGACAAAGTTAACCTGGCTGCATATACCAATGTTTTCCAAAATCCTTCCCTGTTCAAAGGTAAGGAGAATTGGGAGTTCACTCAAGAGATACTGTATTTTCCAAAGTAAAGAAACTGTATGGGCAGTATACTCCTGATCTTAATGTTGTATATTTTAGGGCAACCATAAAATATTTGAGTAGTATAGGTACAGTACAACTGAACAAATAGCAGCAGCATCATGAGAGGACACATTCACTGAAGAACATAATCTCAAAGTAATGCAACATTAACACAGTGGTGAAATATATCTCTTCACTTTCTCAGTGGGTCCTTTATGTAACACTGGAAATGAGTTTGCTTTTCACTGGATATTCTGTCCTTGCCCCTGAGGAGATGTGGAGACATAGTGAAAGATGGTAGCTCTGGTGCTCATTTTCATCACGTGGACACTTGCCCAAAGTAGAGTTGACTAAGTTGGGAAATATATTTGATAATTGCTTTTTGAGTTCATGTCAGAGGTCTTCACTGATGTGTGCAATGCACTAGCAAGAACATCCTGAGATATTTAGTAGGCTTAAGCTTCTGTTCTTCCTACATGCCATCATGATATTCATGCCAGGTGCCAGAAGATGAAAAGAATACAAATGAGAGCTACTGGTCTGATATATATTTGCAAAAATAGAAAAAAAAACACATAACCTCTGTTTTGAAATACATTTTTTAGTCATGTCAAACTAGTACTTTGGTGCTTATGAAGATTTGGATCAAGCTTTTAGTATTCAGTATTTTGTTATGACTATTTCTTCTTAGACCACTACATTTGTATGGCTTGTCAGCAGAGTATTGTGACTCAAGGTGTATTTACTTACGAAAGACCTTTTCTTCAGTGACTCCAGCTCCTTATAATGTTCTCCATGCCTGATTTTTTTGATAAAGAAACTAATACATTTTGCAACATGCTGATTTTAATTAATTATAGAAACTAGTCTTATTATCTCTGATTGGGTACAAACATGATGCAATTATTTATTCTTTGGTATTTGCTATTTTCCAAGCAGAAATAAAACAACTACAGAGTATTCTCACCTTTGCATTCAACTTACTTGGGTTTTTTCAGCGTGTGTTGTTGACATTGCAGTGTACAATTCTGGTTCATGCTACTAATGGGCAGTGTATAAATATAAGGAGAGAACTGGCTTTTCCAGTTGCTTAAGTGAAGTAATCTCTTTCTAATCAAAACTTCTGTACATCCAAAGCATGAGAACATGGATCTAGAATTCTTTACTGTGGTCTGCTATAATCTAGAATATATCTGACAGAGATTTTTTATTTTTCTAAAACATTTTAAATAGTTTTTCCCTTTTGGAGGTGTTTAAGTGATTTATTAAATACATTACTTCTGTTATCTTGCGTGTTTCTAACACCTTCTGTCACCACAGCATCTATACACCTATCATTACATGAAATACTCCTGATTCAGTGAGATCCTGTGTCAGCAGAGATCACCAAAAGTTGAGTGCTGACAAGAGCTTCAACGCTTGTGGACCAGTTCCCACTTTCTTCCAGACCTGTTCACCTGAAGCAGCTGGGCTGGCCAGAACCCCTCATTCCTATCAGAGAAGCCTGCTCAGTTGCTGCAGGTGTTACAAATACGTCTTCAGGGGAGATGGACTTCCTCCACCTCCTCTTGGGCAACATTACCTGATTTTGTCATTTGTGTGACAAAAAATACCCCTTTCCCAAAGCAATTTTGAAATGTTCAGTTTCTAATTTTATCTTCAAGTAGATAACTCCTCATCCCCATGTCTAAGGAAAGCTTGAAGGCATGTCCCAAAGACATCTGATATATTCTGAACCTATAATGGAAATGCAAATGATCCAACATGCAGAAGTGGTCTTAATCAAGTTGTTGCTAGGTTAGCACAATTCATTGTAGAAGCACAGTCAGACTTTCAAATTCTGTGTTAGGCAGCATTTACATCCTGCCTAGTGCCAGAGCCAGGCAGGACTGTAATAATGCAGCTTAGCGTCAAAATCTGGTCAAGGTTTACCTAGGAAAACCAGGCTTTTAAATCCAACATGCAGCATGATAGCAATGCCCTGCTTTCCTCTCTGGAAACTAATTCCAAGCAGGGCTCTAGCATTGCATTACATTTCAGATCTGCAGGTTCACCATGCTTCCATCAGAAACCGCACCAGGTTAACTTACCACCACAGCTCTGCTTATTAACATGATGTGGATGATTCGGAGCTTTACTGGCTCGTTCACTCCAGGAGGAATTTCTGAGTTGGAGAAATCAAAATTCATTGCCCCCAAGACCAGCAACACAAATCCAGCAACAAAAACTGCCAAGAACAGCACGAGCAGTATGTATAAAACTGCCATTTTGCTGAGCAGCAAAGTGGTCTGAAATGTCTTTGATTTGACTTTCCCAGATGTCTTTGGCTTGTTACTTCCTGATTCTTTGTTCGTCATAAGGCTGCTCTAGTAAAAAACTTTCTCCTCCCTTTTTACGAATACCTTAGTTGGTATCTTGCCCTCTCCCACTTTCTTTCCCTCTTCTCCTTTTATTTCACAGAAGGTAAGTTGGTGAAACTCCTGAATTCGTTAAGAGATCTATGCCAGCATACTCTTGGAATTGTTGTAAGAAACCAGTCCTTAGCTGCGAGAGGAGTGTTAGGAATAAACTGTATTAATATTAAATTAATTAGAGGTTGAAAATGGACACAGGGCATTTGTGTAGTTTGAGTTTGTGATACTATAAAGCAGTTGTGTTTCTCTAGGGTTATGCAGAGACAGGAACCTGCAGCTGGTGACTGTCACTCTAAAGGGACAGATGGATTGTCACCAGTGTGGTTTTGGAAAGGTACACTTGTGAAATTAGGTCATTACCTCAATCTCAGGTTTTTTGGTATTTGTGTATTCTTCTAAAAGAAGAATGTGGTTAAAAAACCCACAGGAGGCTGACTTTAGGTTCATGATCAGATTACCTCATACCAGATAACCTCAGTAACCAGATAACCTCATAACCAGATAACCTCAGTGCAGCAGGTAGCACGTAAAATTACTTAAGGTGGGCAGCGATTAAAGAGTTTCAAATCAAACTGGTTTACCTTGTTCTTGCTGTAGAATGGGATTGTGCAAATGTAGAGGTGAGTTGTGCAAGTGTAGAATGGGATTGTGCAAATGTAGAGGTGGTTTGTGCTAATGTAGAATAGGATTATGCAAACGTAGAGGTGGCTTGTGCTGATGTAGAATGGGATTGTGCAAACGTAGAGGTGGCTTGTGCTAATGTAGAATGGGACTGTGCTAATGTAGAATGGGATTGTGCTAATGCAGAGATGGGTTGTGCAAATGTAGAATGGGATTGTGCAAACAGAGGTGGCTTGTGCTAATGTAGAATGGGATTGTGCTGATATATAGAGATGGGTTGTGCAAATGTGGAATGGGATTGTGCAGACATAGAGGTGGCTTGTGCTGATGTAGAATGGGATTGGGCTGATGTAGTATGGGAGTATGCTAATTTAGAGATAGGTTGTGCTAAGGTAGAGATGGGTTCTGCTAATGTAGAATGTGATCATGCTACTGCAGAGATGCTGTAGCTTGAATAATGCTTGAGATACTAATTGTGAATCTAAGTCTGCAATTCCTCAGACAACTGGGAAGTCAGACCATTGTTGAAATTGCAAATTCTCAGGGAAATGAAAGGTAAAAATGCCACTTCATTAAGCAGCCATGTTATAATTTGTTGTTGGGGCTTTTTTTATGTTAAATTGTAAGCAATAGGGGAAGTACCATGTCATTTGAGTCAGAAAACTTTCTAAAAAATGAAATTTTGTAGGATTAGCAAGAGTGTGGTCTCTGTTTGCCAGTGTTGCATTGTTCCTCTCACCACAAGGTGTTCATTTAGGTTTATCAGTGAGTATATGTTTAGCAGATATAATTTGCTGTTGTAATAGAAGTACTTGAAATGCTAGTTTTTATTTTTTTTTTTGTTATTGAAAGCATCACAATTGCCACACTATTACAGGGATAAGAGAATATGATGATGTGCTTTTCTACTCTCTTACCTATGCGATCTTCAGAGCTTTTTCAACAAACATAGCGTAACAGGTAACATAAAAGGTCCTCTTGAGCATAATCTTAAGAGAAAAAGAGTACAGAAAGGAAACCAAGTCTCACCTCTGCACTTCTGAAACATGCACACACTAATTACAGTTTAGGGATTCCAGTTCAAGAATCAAGTTCCAAAATGAAACATCATTTCTCAGATTTCAAATGGAATCAACCGCATACTAGCTCCAGTTCAGGACTTCCACTTCAGACAGAAGCCTTTCTTCTGACTTGAAGAAAGAAACTTTCAAGAACAGCATAGTCTGTGCAAACTAACCCTAGGAATTAAAACACATAGCTGCAATTTCACTACCAGACATAAGACTTCACAGAACCTGAATCATTGGGCTCTCCATCTGATACCCTGAATATCTGTCGTTCACAAGGGCCAGAGTAGACCCTGGTTGTTGTCTTGAGCATTCGTCAGGAAGAGGTGTTCTTGCTGCTTGTCTTGAAGGTGTGACAGGCATGCAAAGACAGTACAATTGCTTGAGTTGAAGTGAAACAGTATGTGCCAGGTGCCTACTTATGCATCTTGATCTTAATGGTGGGGTTTTCTAATCATGGTTTCTGGAATGGTGATGCTTTAAATAATCTTTACATTTGTTTGAGAGCCACTGCAGAAACACAAATTAGAAAGTGGAAAATGCAGTCAAAATCTGGTATCAAAAGTGTTTACATTCTTTGCCAAGTGTAAATTCACCAAGGATAAAGTAAGATTTGCATCTTTGTTCTGAAAAATACTTCTATAAGCTGTTTATAAAATTCACCATACTATCCATTATCTTTTTCCCAGCTAAAAAGGAAAAAATCCCATATCCAAAAAAGGACAAAATTCCATGGAAACCACTCTCAGAATGGCACCAGGTTACTTGAACGCCATTGTCCTCTAAGCGCTTCTTGTATAACAGCCCATCATCCCTGAGCACATCAAACTCACAGGTCAAGATGTAGCTTTCCGGGAGCTGGCGAATAATGGAATCTTCAGCTAAGAGTGGGGAAAATGTTATTGCTAAAATTTCTTTGATTGCTTCATGGACTTCAGGTTTATATGAGGTGGGTTTCTGAGGTACGTAGTCTCTCAACTTGAATTTGTCAGGAATAATGTCAGCACTTACCCATTTCTTATACTTCTGTTTCATACTCTCAGGAACATGGCGGTTTTGGAGAACATCTTCCAAAACTGATGTTTCTTTATTGAGATAGCGAAAGCAGAAGTAGACAACTGACTTCCGAAACAACAGGGGCACTGAAGCATTCTGCTGGTAGGAAGGCAAGTGAAAATCCAGGCCCTGCAGTCCTGGATAAAGTAAAACCTGAGCACGTACTTTTGGGAGATCTCTTTTATTCAGCAATATTTGGCAAATAACTGTAGCAAAATTGGCTCCACAGCTGTCACCACTAAGGATGATGAGAGCAGGATCCACATGATACTCTTCTAAATTCCTCATAAAGTACAAGGTGGCATTGAGACAATCGAAATACTGCCCTGGGTATGGGTGTTCAGGAGCCAAACGATAACTGGAATGTCAAGGATACCATGGTTATTGTCACAGCGAGTATAAAAATGCAATTTAGTTTTCATTTTAACCAGTGCAGACTGGAAAGACAAACTAAGGGTATTACAGCTATTTTAAAATACTGGTCCTATAAGCACATTTCTCAATGGAATAAAAGGCTAAAGTGAAGAATTAGGGAGTACAGTTTGCAGTAGTAGATGTTTTCAGTATAGGTTTCAGATAGGTTTCGGCTGTACACTGTTACCATAAATACTTTGATGTAAAAGTAGCACTTACCCCACAGACACAACCACTGAGTTGCATTTTTTGGCCATATAGCAGCATATTCTTTCATAGGCTCCTAAAGAGAAAATCAGAAATTATATGTTAAAAATCAAATATCCTTTTGAAATGGAAATTTAGACCCTTGAACATAAGCTTTGTGGAAGGCACTGCAACGTGAGACCCATGAGTAATTTCTGCTGTGGTCTTTACCTGTTAATGTATTTTCTGGTTATTGATTGGTGGCTGTTAGGGCATAATATAAGCAACATAAGAATGGTCATACTAGGACAAGCAGATGTCTGTCTAGGATGGTATCACATCTCAGATGTTGTTCTCTAAGGAGAAGCATAACCTGAGGGCAAGCATCTATAAGTAATAAGCATACAAGAAGCTGAGGCTCAGGGCACTCCTCTGAGACAGACACTGTGTCTTCATATTAAATGCCCTTGGTTAATGTTTCTTCCCTGAATTACTCACACCACTTCCTGAAGCCATGATTTTAACATTAACAATTTTGTGCAGTGAAGAATTCCATAGCTTGCTTACAAAGGTGTAGAAAACTGTTTCTATTTGCTCGCTTTGTGCCTCAATTTCACTACTTCCATTTGATGACATTCACTTCCGTGCTGTATGAAATGGTGATAATTATTCCCTGTTTAACTTCTTTTCCATCTCATGGTTTGTAGACATTTAGTGCATCTGTATTTGTCTGAGCCTGAAGGATCATAGTCTACTCATTTTCTGTACAGCAGCACTTTTCTCCTTTGATACTGTATTTTACTTGAGGTACGGGAACCAGAACTATAAGCAGTATTCTGTATTTACATGCACAATGGATTTATTACAGTGGTATAAAGAAGTTCCCAGTTTTGTCCTTTCCTAATAATAATTCCTTGCACTTTATTTGCTTTCTGACTGCTGCTGGGCACTAATTCAACATTTTCAGGCAATTTTCTACCATAATCCCAAGATCATCTTCCTGCAAGGGGAAGTCTGCTTAGAGACCATTAGGTTTATTTATAAAGGTAGGATGCTGTGGTCATGTCTGACTTCTCTACACACCATTTCACCTGTCATTTTATTGTCTAATCCTTTGCTATCATAAAGACACTGCAGGTTTTCATCCATCCACTTACTAGCCCAGAGGACTTCGTATCAGCTTTCAGCATCTTTTCTTTTTCTGACTAAATTGATTAGCACTGACCTCAGCACAGATCTCCTTATGGGAATCTCCCAGGAATATCCCAGAACTCATCTTTTTTCTCTCTTTTAATCAGTTTTTATCTAAATATGTCATGGGTGTATAGCCTCTTTAAGAGGCTCTTTTGGAAACCAAAGTAGGTTTTATCAACTCAGTCTCCTTTATTGCTGTATTTGCTGATTCATTTAAAAAAGCTTAAATTGATTTGTGAAGCATGACTTCCATTTGTATGGATTTTAAGGAGTAAGTCATATTTACCTGTCCACTGATTTTGTTCTTCATTGTAGCTTTTGCTAATTTTCTAGTTGCAGACTTCATGTTTACTAGGATATAGATTCCACAAGTCCTTTAAAAAGCTTAACATAGAATCACAGAATTCCAGAATAGTCTGGGTTGGAAGGGACCTTAAAGCTCATCCAGTCCCAACCCCCTGCCACAGGCAGGGACACCTTCCACTAGAGCAGCTTGCTCCAAGCCCCTGTGTCCAACCTGGCCCTGAACACTGCCAGGGATGGGGCAGCCATCTCTGGGCAGCCTTCTCTGGGCACCCTGTGCCAGCAGCTCAGCACCCTCACAGGGAAGAAGACCTGATGTTAGTTGCTGTCCTGTCACCAAGTACCAGTGTGAATTCAAGTGAAAGGTCACATTCTATAATCAGTGTATCAGTGTGGGTATTATCTTAATGGCATGTGAACAACAACAACAATTATGCCACCACACTATGGCAACTACAGCTATGGTGTAGGTTTTTTTCTGCCACTGAAAGGAATTCACCTTTCACTTAGATCACAGCGGCTTATCTTAAGTCCTCACCGCCACCCAAAGTAGCTCTAGAACTAGAAGCGTTACAGGTAGTGCCAGCCTAACACTCCACCCAGACTAACATGCTCTGCAGTAAAACAAGGGTAGCTTATTTCTACACGGTGCAGAATGGAACCTCAGTTCCTGGAATTTACATTATTATTTCTGCATGATGTTAAGCAAAACTTGGTAGACTCTCAAACTCATTTGCAGATAACTGGAGTCTGCCTGGAGTGTAATGGAGACTTACCATGTGAAACAGTAAAGGATTCAAACCCCACAAACTTCCCTGTCTGACCCCTGGAATGAAGTCTGCATTTCCATGTTAGGTACTGGCTTCCAGACAAAGCACACACTGACCTGGCTGCTCAGAAGGAGATCCAGAATAGATAGGAGGAGGCTGAGAGTAGCAACTGAGACAATCAAAGTTGTCTTCCTGTCTGAAAAAGAACTAAAGTATTCTGTACAGTGTTGCCACAAGGATCGGTCTTCCCCAGATTGGTTCTATTTTTGATGCTTATTTATTATTTACATTTTCCTTGATTTTGAGTCCTCGTTTGCTGAATGGGAATATATTTACACATTATTTTTTAATGTATTCTTTAAATTCTTTCTTGGACAATATTATACCTTTTAGACTTTCCTTTGATGCATAGACTGCAAGTTGAGAAACAGTTTCATAGTGTTTCTATACAAAAGATGAGTGGTGAGCACAGAAGTATTTAAATTCCACACTTTGAGGCCCTATCCAGACTTACAGAAAATGCTTTAGTCCAGTTGAGATCAAAACCTAAAAGTTTGTCCTTGGTAAGTAACCAAAGCATTACTCCAGAGAATTAAGCCAGAATGTGTTTTTGTAGCAACAGTATTGCCATTTTCATGATGTAATAATTCCTGAAAGTAAATCTAGGTTCATTTGTGTGTCAGCCTAAAAGGATTTTAAGTTGCATTTCTGGCAAAGATGGAGAACAGAGGAGCGGGGAAGAGACCTGATTGAAACCCTTACTCCAGGACTGCTGCTGTATTTTCAGCTAGGCATTAGTTGAGTTACAAGAACATCCTGTAAGCTCAGCTTCCCACTCAGTGACCTATGAGTTTTGTTTCAATGGTCTCTTTTTCTCTGTGCCAGCAAACTGAATCTTTCTCAGAGTCAGCAGGAAGAGCAGTGGAGTCCCTCTGCTGTTAGCTGACAGCTGACCCAGGAAGTTCTGGAACACAGTTCTGGATTTAGAAGCCTTAGATCTGCTTTCATCAACTTAGCCTGTAGCCCAAAGGAAGTAGAAATGCACTAGGCTATTAATTCTACAAGGCAGTTAGTAGTGAGATTGCAAAGGCTATTGTCAGTAGGAAGAGCAGGTGAGATATTGACAGCATCTGAAGGTAAAAATATAAAGGTTTGGATTTGATTTTAAAAATAAAACTTGCTCTTTTCTTACTAATGCTTCCAAATGTGCCAGCACCTCCATGAAAATACAGTATTCCTCTTCTTTTGCCAGGAGGTGGCCATTTGGGCTGATAAATCCTCAGTGGTACCTCATCTACTTTGAGGTCTTTGATAAGAAGTGTTGAATCTCTCCGTGGTGGTATTCCATCCAGCACAATTCGCATTAAGCTTAAGTCACTGCAGATTCCCAGCTTCTGCAAAATCTTTCCCTGTTGAAAAGAAAGAACTTGGAAGAAGAGGAGCAATGTTGGCTTGCTTCTGATAGACAGCATCATTATATGTACATGCGCTTCACTAGGTACAGTATACATATAGTTGGGGGGGGTTTAGTTTTCATGTGAAATGGTTTTCCAATGTAAAGTGGCTGCAGTTTGACAGATGCATTGAAAAATCTAAGTAAGCTTTTTAGTCATATCAGTTTTATGAGATAATATAATGTGTTTCATACAACTACGCTTACAGGTTTCAGGGGGGTGAATTGCTTCTTCTTTTCTCTCTTAAGCCATTATCTTCCAGCTCCAAACTATCCTATCAAAATAAAAGCAAAATCCTCAGTTTTAAGAAAGTTCACTTACCAAGACCATGGTTGTAATCATCACTGAATGATAAAACCGCAGCTTTAGAGGTTGGTCAATTCCGAGTGGCACTTCTGAGCTGAAAAGGTCATAAAATACCCCCCAGAAAAACAATGCTGGTAATACAACAGGAGAGATGAAAACCATCCCTATTGTTGCTAAAGTCACATAAACAGATGCCATTTCACTTCAGTAGATGTGGATGCTAAGAAAACCCTGTGCTGCCTTAAGCCTTGTTTTCAAGTGGTTCTGACAGGTCTTCACAGGAGACTAAGCACTCACTTCATAAGCAGAAATGAAAAGTTTATTAATGTTGCAACATCCTATTTTTCTCCACCCTTCTTTTGCTAATGATATTACTGGCAACAAGTAGTTATACTTAAAAAAAGGGCAGGGGGACAGTTTACCCTTTACAAAAGGTGGAGTTCTGAGTATATGGAATTGACTTGTAACGTGAGCTCTTCACTAGCAATGAGAAATGATTATTCAGAGGAGCCCTTATTTAAAGATGGTCTATGTTTGTTTTGTTGTGGGTTCATTATGGATGGACATTCCTGTTGTAGTGTTGAACTGTAGTGATGTGGGGCTACTTGCATTTGTCATCAAGGTGTGTACTTCTCTGGGAAGAAAAATACTCGTTAACAATCATATTTTTTTAATAAACTTTGGTTTATACTGTCCATTAAGACTTGCATTGTTTGTCACTGGTTTTACTTGTACTCCTACTCCAGTGTGAAGAGTGATACCTGTGCATAAAACATCTTGTGCAGCTAACATAATGTAGCACATACATCACAGGTTATACACTGAGCACAGGTACTCATTTAAACCAAAATTGAAGCATGAATGTGTGTCTTAATGCACAGTAAGATCTCTTCAGATACAGAGTGGTGTATCTGGAGACTCTGTTTCTGGTAAAAGCTTCTCACCAATTAAACTCAGAATTTGATATTGATTGCAATTCTTTGTAGCTCTATGTAGAGGCATGATGAATGCATGTGTATCAGTGACGGCTAATTGAAGTTGATGGCAGTTTGTGGTGAAATATTTTTTATGGCTTATGTTCTTTTCACTGAATTTCATTTTCCACACAATGTTAAAGTTACAGCTCCCAAGACTTTTTCCTGACCTGTCTTTTAAAGTGGAAATCAAGTCTGAAAACTGCTTTAGTCCTTAGCTTCATTGGCAAGTATTTAAAACAAAGCAATCCTGACAGCTGATTTGCACAATTTTAGCTTGTGGAGATAACAATGTGTGGGATAAAGCAAGGTAAATTTACACCAAAGTTTGTGAAATGGGCAAATCATCAGTTGTTCACAGTAAGGGCTTTTTCCTTGCTGAGGTTGGCTGATTTGTGGCTGCCTTTCCCCTTCCATGGAGTACAAAGTGATCCTGTGTGTTACAAACATCAGACTGCAGAGTGTTGAAGCCAAACCCTGATATGCCTGGTCAGTGCTCATTTTGGCCTCAGCTTATCAGCATCTAACCATAGGGCTCTTCCTGCGGCACAGCAGGGTCGTCTGCTGATGTTTTTAGTTAGGAATTCTGTAAGTAATCTCTGTGTAGTGTAATGATAGAACATAGCCCATGGGGTTTTGATTGATTATTTGGGTTTCCAAACAGCAGAACAACACAGTTCTTACTAAAAGCTTATTTCTGGTGTCTGTGCCATCAGTCAAAATATCCTGAAATGAATTGCCACATGGGGCAGCTCTGAATATTGTATTTCAGCATTGAAAATGGTCTTTTATATTTGAATCCTTGGAGAAGGAAAATTCCATGTTTCCAAAAGAATCTGTGATCAAGAGTAAACTCACAGAGGCACTTCTTATTGCAGTGGCAGTAAATGACACTCTTAAGAACAACCAACAACATGAAATAACCTGATGTTTGGAATAGAGCAGTTCAGATTATGAAAGCCTCATGGAGGACATGTGTATCTGCTGGAGCTGGATAAACTGTTGCTGACACTGTACTGGCAGGAGTCTTTTCTTCACAGTATTCGGTGAGTCAATAATTAAACACCATTAATCAAAACCAAAACACCTGAGAGATGCCACCTCTGTTTTGAAACTGTGATGGATCTGATAGAGTGTAAGGAGTAGTTCTTGACTGCCTCTTTTATTTTAAATATAGATTGAAAAGTGGACAGTTTGTGGGGGGGTGTTTATTTGCTCTTTGATGTCATGCTCCTGCAGTTGCCTTCAGGAAGTATCTGTTGTACAGTTGTGCCAATTTGAACAAAAATCTTTCTCTTGTGCATTATAGCCCTTCTGTTGTCAAAGCAATGTTGGTTAAGTAATGTTTCAGAATAATTTCTTCATGTTTTAGTTTTAATCTCTTAATATCCTAATATTTTACTCTTAGACCATACTCTGAGTATGCCTAATCAGAGCATATTCTGTCTTCTAAATCAGCTCCTCGGTCCTTCTTCACTGTCCAGTTTCCATGTTTTTCCATAATCAAGCAAATCTCGTGGTCTTAGAGCTGCTCAGTCCTTCTGGGATGCTCATGCACAACTGTTTTATGATCCTCAGTGCCTTACGTTCCAAAATGCTCCTGTGACTCCTATACTCCTGTGGCTGCATGTCACTTTTGTAGTAATGCTTATTCTGAGATGCTTCAAATCTTTCCAGCCTTGTCAGGCTGTTCCTGCTGATAGAGGGGTAGAGATATCTATGATCATTGTCAGACTGGCACATTTCTAACAGTCAGTGGGGCTTTTGGTGGGCTTTTTTAATTGTTTTTAACATGTTAAATTGTTGGAAAAAAAATGTTTTATCTCCCTTCAGTCCATTCCATAAAGTGAGTACCTCATGTCTTTGCAAACAGAAAGGCTTCTCTTTCTGGCAGTAGATAGATATCCATCCCAGATACAAAGCTACTAGGTGTTTGCTGATGTGTTTTGCTACATCCATTCTTCTTTCAGCAAGCTCGTTGCAAAACCCCAGCTTCCACAGAGTCTTTGCTTGTCAATAGGTAAGAACAGCCTTGAATTAGCTGAGAAATAAACTGGAGAAAATGAACACAGCTTGGCATTTGGCATTGTAAGGTGCCCTATGGATTTACATATGGTTCTTTATTCTTATCAAGCAGGCAGCTCATAGCTCACAAAACTGATACTTTATTCATTGAATTTAGTATTGCTGGAAACTGATTTATTTAATGTATCAGTTGGTGAGTCCAGAATGAGAATAATCGAGTCAGTTCTTCCCATTTTCTCATCAGCAAGCCTCTCTTTATGCAAGATGTTAGTCACCTCTTAAATCCATTCTTAATTTTTCAGCCTATTTGTAATGGTTATAGTAATGATGGGAAGGCAAAGTATTATAACAGTACATGTTCAAAGAAATATTTGCTGTTTTTTCCCAGGCTTAGCCTGTTGGGTTTTAAAGGCTTATGTAGCTGTGGCATCAGACCTCTTTGCACACTGAGAATGTAAAACTCATCAAGGTCACATAAACTGTTTATCAGCAGAAGTGGGCAGGTTTCAAACCAAACATTAATCAAGACAAAAGTGTCAGGGCAGTTGGAGCTAATGACTTACCTGAATGTCATGTGCTATTAGGTAATTTAGTAGCACAATTAGACTCCATAGTGCAACTTAACTAACTTGGTTTTACCAAGTGGAGCATGTAAGAAAGTCACTGTCCTCCAGTTCACATTTCCTTTCTTGTATTAATGTAAACAAATGACTGAAACCATCTCAGACCTCTTCATACCTGTAAGCTTTGATCTCCTGATCTGTGAAATGGATTTAGTATGCCCTTTACAGTGACAGTTACAGCTTAGTATGTGCTCTATGATACTGGTTTTTAAAGGTGCTAGGTATTTGCTTAATCTATTTCCTTCTCCATTTAGCCTGCCTCCTACCTACCTTTCGGTTTCCTCCCTATTAGTTATCTCCATCTCCCCACCCAAATTAGTAGCTACTCCCTATGCATTTTGCTCTTACTCATGACTAAAAGCTGTCTTCCATTTAGTCTGCCATGAATCGTTATTTTAACCTTTCCTTTCTAAGTTATTTTTTGAAGTGTACGTCTTTCAAATGACTCTTAGGTTAAACATCTGGATGTGTCTTGGTAGCTGTGCAGTTCTGTTCCTAAGAATGGGTAAACTCTGCTCCACACAAATGGACTCCAGATAAACTGCTCTGGAACATCCACCTGGGATTTCATGACAGGTCACCACACCAAAGTATATTCTTAGTGGTTTGAATATGAATATAAAACTAAAACTGACCTTCGTTTGCTGTGGCCAGATTTGTCTGAGACTCATTACACCAAATATATAGGTTAGCAGTTTCTTCACGATCATGAGAGTGTCAGCAAACGCAGTGAATCACTGAGGAAATTGGCAATCAGAGAAAGAAGATTGACAGGATTAAAAGCAGCCATAGTTTGCAGGATTATGTCTGTTTATTTCAGGAGTGGTATAAACAATGGGCATCATAGGCAGAGAATAATGTTAAATGCTTTTAAATAAATAATATTATTTATAAATAATATAGTTACTAAATTTGAAATGTTTTCTGATTGCCTGCTTATTTTTAAAAATAAAAATATGCAACTTGCTGTTGTATACTGACTTTTAACTAGAGTGGTACAAAGAAGTGATGTAAAGATAGCAAAGCAAAAGATAACTGAAGTTGTAGACTTATGTAATAGACAATGGTAACATGATTGATATAGAACAGGTATCTAACTTTAAAATTATTGTGTGTTCTATTATTAAACATACAGCTTTAGTCTATGAAGGCATAACAACAGGTTCAGTAAAAATATTTAGTATGTAAAAATATTTAATATGTAAAAATATTTGATATATAAAAATATTTACTGGTCTAAACCAGAGATCGACCTGCTGTAATGTATTTTGGGCACTCAGATTCCGTGCCATAAACAAAGAGAAGTTTGCCAGGTTATTCTGCTGGCATTAAAAACTCAACTGTGCACTGACATCTGGTGATGGGGGTGGTGCACAGCAATTTGCTTTCCCTTAATTTCACATCTACAACACATAGCTGCTCAAACAGTGTCAAGACCTCCCGGCTGTACCGCACTTTCCAGCATTTCACTAGGGTTTGGATCTTGACAGTGTTCTGATCTGCTCCTGAATCCTACTATTTGATCACACTGCCTTTGTGCCAAAGCATACAGACCAGCTAAAGAAATGGCTCGTGTCCACATTATTTGGGGTTAATAATAGTACCAGCTTTTATTAACCAGCTTTGTCCATACCCTGTTACTGCCTGGGTGGTCTAGGATGGTCTGTCTCTTTACTCAGGATGCAAACTCTAGAGTAAATGATTGCCTCAGCCATACTCACTTTCCCTTTTGGAAAGAAGCAGCTGTTTCTGTCAAGATGGGAAGTAACTGCCTGTTGTGGTATAAGCCCAGCCGGTAACTCAAGCACGCAGCCACTTGCTCACTCCCCCCCTTCTCCCTCCCCCTGCTCCCAGAGGGATGAGGAGGAGAATCGAAAGAATGTAACTCCTGCGGGTTGAGATAAGAGCAGTCCAGTAACTAAGGTATAACACAAATCACTGCTGCTGCCACCAATGATAATGATAAGGGAAATAACAAGGGAAGAGAATACAACTGCTCACCACCTGCCAATCGATACTCAGTGATCTAGCCCTTCCACGTAACTGCCCCCAGTTTATATACTGGGCATGACGTGCTGTGGTATGGAATACCTCTTTGGTTAGTTTGGGTCAGGTGTCCTGTCTCTGCTTCCTCCTGACTTCCCCTCCTCCCTGGCAGAGCATGAGACTCAGAAAGTCCTTAATCAGAGTAAACATTTGAGCAGCAACTAAAACCATCGGTGTTACCAGCGCTGCTCCCAGGCTGAAAGTCAAACCCACAGCACTGCACCAGCTACTAAGAAGGAGAAAAATGACTGCTACTGCTGAACCCAGGACACTGCTCCATTTAAGGAAGCATACTTGTTAGGATTGTATTTTCCTAAGTTTTTCATAGGCAAAGACTCCTTGATAATGTTTAAAAGAGAAAGATGTGTAGTATCTTCAGCATGTCTTTTGGGGGGTTTAATACCCATGACAGATTTATCAGTTTTAAGCCTTCTTCTTAGTCTGACTACATATGTATTTTAGTGTTAGGAATGTAACGCTGTATTGCTTTATGGACAAACTGCCCCTGATGTCAATGGAGTGAGTAAATCTCAGCATTCATGGCATAGGTGGCCCATATGAAAATCAGGTAGCATTCAAAAATCAATGTTAACTGGTATGTTTGCCTAGAAATGAGGAAAATACTGTAGAAGACTTCTGGGGGGCTTTTTGCTTATTCAGGTTGTATTCATACAGAAAAGCCACATGGAAGAGCCCTGTAAAACTTCTTTTTCCTGCCTATACTGAATAAGTGTAACTAACTAAATGTCACTGATACTATTCTGGCAGGCTTTATTTTCTCATACACTGAATGTAACTAAGACAGCCATGCCAAGCATTGCAGAGCATCCTTCCTTTGTTTGTAGGGTGTCTTCTTCTGTCTGAATACTTACCTTACATGATTGTCTGCAGCATGCTTTGCTTTTGATTATAGCTTAAATAAGCCAGTGGTGGGCAGAAAGCACATACAATAATATCAGTAAAAAGATTCTTATTTCTAAATGCCAGAGCTAGAAATTTCTCTGACAAGATCAAAACTAATTCATAGTGTTCCAGGTATTAATTTAAGCAAAGATAGATAGTTAGAAGTTTTGACTGTAAGATTGCTTCCTTGCCCTGCTCCATTTCTGCATGGAAATGCATCTTGCCTCCAAGTATAACTCACTGAAGAATTTAAGGCATTAGTGTCTAATGACATCAATCATTATAATGCAGGTTAAAAGATTACAGTAAAACAGAGGAAACAGTTAACACTGTCAGATGTTCACCTCAGAAAAAATGTGTCATCAAAACAGTTACTGATATTTCTTGGCAAGACTTGCTTTCATTTCCAAGACAAAAGCCTCAGACATTTATTATGCCATTTTATTTGTATTTTTTTACTTAATATTTCTCTCATCTTGTAAAAAGTTTAAGATCAATGTGAACTTTTCTTTTTTTGTGTGTTGTTTGTGGGGGGTTCTTTCTCCTTAATTCTCCTTTCTCTGCCTGAATTTAGCTATAACAGTTCTTTTTCTCCTTAGTATCTGGTGCAGTGCAGTGTTTTCAACTTTAGTATGAGAGCAGCCCTGGTAAACTATAGAAACTGGGGGGAGTTACGTGGAAGGCCCAGATCGCTGCTCAGAATGGGCTGAGTATTGGTCAGTAGGTGCTGAGCAATTGTATTGTACGTCACTTGTGTTTATTGTTTTCTTTTCCTTTTCCCTTTTTAGTTTTATATTCTCTTCCCTTGTTATTTCCCTTATCATTATTATTACTGGTGGTAGCAGTAGTGGTTTTATGTTATTCCTTAGTTACTGGGGTGCTCTTATCTCAACCCGTCAGAGTTACATTTTTTCAGTTCTCCTCCCCAACCCTCCAGGAATAGGGGAGGAGAAAGCGGGGGAGTGAGTGAGTGGCTGTGTGGTTCTGAGCTACTGGCTGGGCTTAAATCACAACAGCACTTTATAAGAAAGTGCTTCCTGCTTCAGACAGTGCAGGCCTCCAGTTAATACAAACTCTTTATAAACTGATATTACTGTGCATTCCCATCTATATATAAAAGGTGTATGCATAGTTCTTCTAATGGATGTTGTGTTCCTTAAACAATACTTTTCATCACATCAGTAGTTTCAGGCCAGTTCCCTTTTCTGACCTCTTTCCCTCCACTTCTTTCTGTTATGTCTATGCTCAAATCTGTTGTGCTGCATTCAGTTCTGTAAGCTTGCCTCAAATTCAGCTTTCATCAGCTTTCACCTGTAAATCATTGACCATGTTCATTACACACTTAACCTCTAGATTCATGCCCTGTTACCTGCCCCAAGTTCTCCTTAAATCACAGTTCATGCTTTCATATTACCAGAATTTTGTTGAGGCAAACTGCATTGCAAAACACTTGCCATGGGGTTTTACAGGTACAGGAGAAAACTGAAGAGGAAGGAAAGGTAAGTTCATCTGATTTTGTTTCTCATAAGAGAAAATGAAGCAAAAGCCATCAACAAATCAATTTATTGGGTAAAAAGAGGACAGATGCAATGCAGAAATTCATAATGATGATTTAAGAAAAGGAAAATTGAGGATGTTTTTTAAAAGTCTTTGCAAGCAATAAAAGATTCAATCTTTTGAACCAGGAAAGTAAAACAAGAAATGAATTTTACATCAATCTTAGAAAATGTACTATATTTTCCAGGCCTTTATTTCCAGATTGGAATGCCAAAAACGCACCAGAAAGAGCTAATAATACTGTGCCATGGAATCCCTCTTGCAAATGGCACCAGGTCACTTTTATACCATGATCCTCTAATCGTTTCTTGTAGAGCAGTCCATCATCTCTAAGCACATCATATTCACAGGTCAAAATGAAAGCCTCAGGAAGCTGAGCAATAACACTGTCTTCAGCTAGCAGTGGTGAAAAAACAGTGTCAAAAATAGGTTTGACTAGTGCATAGATTTCCTCTGAGAATGAATATGTTGTACTCGGCGTGTAGCCTCTTCTTTTAAACTCAGGAGGGATGATGTCAGAACTCACCCATTTCCGATACTTCAGTAGCAGATCTTCTGGAACATGATTGCCTTTAGATACTTCAAATGCTGGTTTTGTGGCAGACAATTTTATGTTAAGGTACTTCAAGCCAAGAGAAAGGGTTCGTTCCTTTAACAAAATGGGCACCCCCTCATTCTGCTGATAAGAAGGCAAATCAAAGTCCAAACCCTGGAGAAAGGGATATATTAGGATTTGCGCTCTCAGTTTTGGGAGATCTTGTCTGCTCACCAGTGCTTGGGCCACAGCAGCAGTGATTGTACCTCCACTGCTATCTCCACAGATAACAATGCGAGAAGGGTCTACTCCGTAGTCTCGTGCAGTCCTCATGAAGTGGATGGTGGCAGCAAGGCAATCCTCAAATTGTGTTGGATATGGATGCTCAGGAGCTAAGCGATACCTAAACAGGGGTGAGAGTGTTCAAACATGGTCATATCTAGTGAATGTCCCTTAGTCATCTCTTCATTCACATATTTCTTTCTGAAGATAGGAAGTACTCTGAGATAATAATTACAGCAATGGAATTTATGATAATTATTGCTTTTAATGGATTATTTACTACTATTGTTAATGTTTGGGGGGTTAGTCCGCTATTCTATCTTTACAGAATACATCTTCACTTATGTTTTAGCTGACTCTAGGCATGTGCTGTGTCATTGTAGGATTAGGTGGCAAGGCACCTGATCTGATGTATGCATGAATCAGTTATCAGCAATTCCACTTAGAAATTCAAGTGAACATTTCACAACAAATTGTTAGGGAATATGAGCACAGAACATTGATAATGAAAATCCAAAAGGTTTTCAGTGGTTTTCTATAAACTGAATTCTTTCAAAACAGAATCAAAAAGAGTTGATGATTCCTCAAGTATTTTAGGATGTAAATAATAATTGCTAGAATTTAATCCATTTCCAAAATGTCAACTCTTTTCCTGAACGCTTAGAAATCAGTTCTTTTAAAAATGCATTATAGCTCACCAGAAAAAGACTTTGAATGTTCATCTCAGGTTGATTGCAGGTTAAATGTGGATATCCATGTGGATATACCCCACCATTTCTTCAGAACGCCTACTAAGATGAGTATTTAGTACTCTGGGCAACTGTGCTTTTAGCAAAAGCAGTGACACTTGGAATATAGTGTTGGCTTTCAGCTGCAGTTTGCTCTAACTGTGCATTACAGACTTACAAGCCTAGGAGGAGGCGTGAATGGCTGTCACATTGTATGTCTGGATTGACTGCACTTACCCAACAGACACCACCACCGAATTGCTTTGTCGGGCAAGATAGCGGCATGTTCTTTCATAGGCCTCTGTAAAACAAAGTATTTCAGTGGAATTGTAGCTTGCCTTAAAAATGAGTAGAATGCGAGTATTCTGAAATTCTTATCTGTATTCTTATTCTGATTCTCTTATTGTAGCATGGTCTGATCTGGACATGGTTCTGTAGGATCTTCTTGGAACTAAGAAACCTGGAATTTACACCAATGCATTGCTTCACTCTCCTCTTTGAGAAGTTAAGGAATAGAATGAATTCTGCCGCTTCTAAAGCAGTATTGAAAGTGATAAGTTGTTTAAAAGCCCCAAACAAAACCAAAACCCCTTGCTAAATCCAGCACAAGGATTTTTCTTGTGCGTGAGCCACTATCTAATCCCTTATGCCTTTCCATTTCAAATGCAAAAATGTACTTTTCCTTGTTTTGCCATTAAGACAGACTGCAGTATGCACACATACACACAAGCTTGCACACACATGTCAACATAAATTGGGTTCTTTAAAATAAAAAATAAAATTCTAATGAGATTTTCAACTTTTCTTCTGTGCAGGAATGAGAAGAAGGAAGAAAACAGGTATTATGAATGACCAGAGAAAAAATGTTTTAGGTACACTACCTGCATAAAAACAATTTAACTCTTAATTTACATACCTATTACATGAAAATAAAATTACTCTGCTGCCCTGAAATTAATTTTATTGTATGTAGTGCTTCACCTACTAACTCTTCTTGTCATCTAAGAAATACTGTATCAGATCAGAAACTACATCTATTTGTAGTTATAGCTCATATTTATATTACTTACTAATACTTCCAAACAGTCCAACTCCTCCATGAAAATATAGGATTCCTCTTCTTTGGCCAGTAGTTGATGATTTTGGCTGGTAAATTCTTACTTCAACCTTTTCAAACCTTAAGTCCCTGATAAAAAGTTGTTTATCATCTCTTAATGGTGGTATTCCATCCATGACAGCCCTGAGGAAATCCACCTCTGAGGTGATACCTACTTTTTCCAAAACTTTTGCCTGTTAATAAAGGGAAAGAAACCACAAATCAGTGCACATTTCCTTCTTACCTGGAGATTGATCATGAAACATTTACAATTACATGGTTAGTTCAGACTTTGTCTCCTGATGGTTCTTACAATGAAGTGGCCAGTTACGGAAACGATTTGGATAGATCTCAATTGTAACGTAATACCTAACAACATCGGAAGTTCAAAGAGCAGTAGGCTGGAGAAGAATGGATGATTTTATATTCTGGAGCTGCCTTGTGTCATGCTCCTCCAAAAGCAAGGCCTTTGAGCCCGAGGGTTGCCTCCACAGAAGTACAGTAATTTGGCTCATTAATCCCATCTCAGGTCTCTAGCATAACTGTTAGCAGTGCTGTGGCAGAACATAGGGTTAGCATTGGTGGTAATTTCTAGGTTATGTTAAAAGTGTTGGATGAGAGCATGGTGGTTTGCAAATGATTTACTTCTTCAGTGGTGAAATCCTGGCTTAGTTTTTATCAGCAGAAAAAATTCCCTGGTGTTAGGGTCCTTTGTGCTTTTCACACAGGTACAAAAGCCTACCAGGTACAGCCCAGAACTCAACAGAATTGCACTGTGCCAGTCTGTCTGACTAAATGCTGGGTACAGGCAGCTTACAGAACTATTAACACAGTAGGTAGCATCATTTAATCAGCCTATTTCCTAGACAGGATCAGTCATAAGTCCCCTGGCTATTGTGTAGCTTCTTATAGGCTGAAATGAAATAAAAAAAATAAAGGATGAGTTAATATATTTTTCAGTGAAGAAGTTCTATTAACCTTTAGATGCAGCTGGTTTTATTGAAGCAGATCCTTACAGGTGAATGCAGTCATTTCTTCATAAAATCTGTTCTTGAGCACAAGTACTTCAAACTGGTTTGTCTCCAGTGACTTCACATGCATCTTTTGTCCCAGCTGAAGACTGGACATGCTGGTAAACTTTAATGTTCCTGCAGTTTTGACATCATGGGTTGTCATACCTTGAAAAGGTTTGGCTATTTAGGCACAAGTAACTGGCCTAACAGCAATACTAAGAGTTGCCTCATGACTCAGACTTTACTTGCATTTAAACTTTCGTAGAACCATACGTAAGAGACAGTCCAGGCCAGGCTGGATGTGGTTCAAGGCAACCAGGTCTAGTTGAAGATGTTCCTGCTCATTGCAGGGGGTTGGATTAGATGAACTTTAAGGTCTCTTCCAACCCAAACTGTTCTATGATTCAATGATTCTGTTATTCTATAAATATTCTTATCTTTGTGCTCCTTTGAGGTAATGTGGTACAGTGCTGGCCTCTCTCTGGCCAGCAGAAAGCATACTGAATTATAAGATCAGCAGTTTAAAACTACATTAATCACCAGTAAATTTTTAAATCCTGCAGTTTAGCTTTTTACAAATTAATTATACAAAGATAAAACTTTGATGGATAAAGAGTCTTCATACAGTGTTTTGAAAATGTGGAAGTACACTTTGTATAGTAGAGGTAAGAAAATGTAATTTGACTTCTGTTACTACCCTGTTTTGTTGCACTGCTTTAGTGTAGTGTCAGTGTTGAGGCCTCGGTGGGGCACCTCTCAAGCGACACAATGAGTCACATTCTCAGGAGTTTACCGGCTTGCTTCAAACAAAGCTTAACAAGCAGTGTAGCATGGAAACGGAGGGAAGAAACAATGCTGGAGGGTGGGGCTGAAGTGAAACATAATGAACAAACCAAAGAAACTGAAGGGTTTTTCTCACTTTAAAGAACCAAAGGAAAAGAAGCTTGATTTAAGTTTCACAGAAGAAATGTTATTAAAATGATAGTGGCAACACTTAATCCAGGAAAGGATAATTGGTGAAACAGTAAGACAAATAGAAATCTCATTTTAGTTTTGAAAAGAAAGAAGGTGAAAAACAAGAGAGGATCAAAAATGTGCCAAAAGCAATGACACAGAAAGACAGCTTTCATATGTGTAGTGTCTCATAAAAGAGAGTCATGTAGACATATTGAAAGGCAAAAGACAGTGTCTTTCAGATGGCTCACGAGTAGAGTGATACAGTTGTAGAAGAACACTGAGATCACAGACATCATTTAGTTGCTCATTCTCTAAATAAGCACTGTGTTACACGGAGCAGAAGTTCCACATACACAGTGCAGTAAGCTGCTTAAGCCTTCCAGCACTGCATTGAGCACTGGGGCAACCAGATCAGAAAGCTAAAGCATACTTAAAAACTGGGAATTACAGAGTTTGCAGGATTTTATTTTCCATATTGCCTCTGGTGCTGTATAGCAAGCAGCAGGGTCTGTTACACCCAGCTGAGCTGAAGGTGTCTTCAGTGGTGCTCACAATTGCCAAATTAATCCAGTTGCATATTTGCAATACATTTAAACATTGGTTGAAAAAGAACCCCCCTCATTAATCCATTAACATTTTATCATAAATGAAATAAAAAACTCCAGCTTGAATCAAGTTTTACTTACGAGGCCAAACCCAAAGTTCACCGCATAATGAAAAATGTAAAGCTTTCGGCGCTGACTAAATCCATGAGGGATTTTTGCTTTGGGGTGTTCATAGTAGAATGCCATTGCCACGAAGAAAGTCAAAACAGCAAGAAAAATCACTAGAAGCAATCCCATCTCAGTGTACTGTGAGGAACCAAGCTGAAAAACCAGCTGTGGCTTCCTCACCCCTCTGACTTTTGAAGGATTTCTGAAGGTTAAAGGCATGGGATTAGCAATTCTCTTCATATCCCATCATCCAGCTTTTAAAAATGCCAATAGGAAGATGAAAACATGTGGCAATCAAAGCATACAATTAGACAGTAACAATTAGTCCTGGCAGAAGCTTGCATAAGAAGTTTTTCAGATTTGCAGTGAACATGTTTTGGGTCTGTGCCCATCACTATAGAACCAGTGCTTTGTGTATCATTTGTAGTGTCAGTTTTACGAGAAGACAAGAATTTGTTGAGTCTCTCCCTAGTTCTTGAATGCAGTCAGGTCTGTTATTATTCCCAAGTTCCCCTGAGTTCCTGTGGAACAGGATTTCTTAGCAATCATCTTCAGAGCTGCTCAGTTTCTTGATTTATTCTGCCTCCACTCCTTATTTCTTCAGACTTCTAGTGAAATCAAGGTTTCAGTGTCACAAACACATTTAATCACCTTTGATGACTGATTCTGTACCCTGCTATGCTGTTGTGTTCTTGAATCTAATGGAACCAGAAGTGGTTGCAGCTTGAAGTGTCAGTGGTTTGCATCTTGCTTCATCTTCCTTGATAGTTTTTCTCCAGGAGGTGGAAGCCTGGAACCAGCTGTTGTGGTTGGTTGGTTGGTTGGTTTATGTTTGGCTTGGTCGAGCCTTACAGTATGCAGTCTCCACCTTCTCATGAGTATATTACTTGCAGATGTCATTCCAGGTAGAAATGTGACTGCAGCTGATGAAGCCTAGAGCTGGACTTCATGGTTTCAGTGCTGGTAGCAACTGACTAGACATCAGGAGCCTACTCTTTTCTGTGTACTCTGTGGTGAGCTTTAGGATCTTTGCCTGCCTCTGGAATGAACAGATTTTTCAGTACACAGGTGATGAGATTTAACCTGAAGCAAAAAAATCTGTAAAGCAAAGCTTTTTCAGCTCGTAAGGTATTACCTTTGGGTGTCTTTTTACCAGTCAGCTCAAAATGTGAAAGCAACAAATTCTTACTCTGAAAAATAGCCATAGGGGGAAAATGACTGTGTAACACTTTGAGTGCAAGGAATGAGCTGACCTTGAGATGTATATTAAAATGAAACTGAGTACAGAGAACCTCAGAGCTTTACAATGCATAATCCATGACCTGCATAGGAAAGATGACCTTAGGCTTGGTTCCTGACTTTAGAAATTAATTGTTTAGAATAAACAGGAAGGATTTCCCAGCCTGGTAACATGCTCTCTGAGAAGTGGCTGATCCCATGTTCTGCTCCCTGTGCCCAAACTGATTCTTTGTTTTATCCAACCCCTCTTTGCAGACTTTCCTGTCCCAATGACCCTGTTCCCTCTCCCTGCCTTGCCAAGGGTTGTTTACATGCTGAGGATGAAGTTTGCTTCCTTTCTGTTTATTCTTTGTGGCAATTGCACATTGCCCAGCTGGGTGAGGGATGCTGGTGACAGGCATGCTGGTGGTTGGGCCACTCTTGGGAAATGGAATGGGTGAATTTAAACCTGTCAGCACCAAAGTGCATATAAGGTTAAGCTTTCTTACAGTTCAGACAAGATCATTAGGAAATACTGTTACACAAAACATGGTTGCAGCTCCTTTCTTTAGTGCTTTAATAGTGAAAGGAATCAACTTCATGCTAAACTGTGCTGTCCTAGTAAATTAGCTGCGTTGTAAGTATGCTTATCAGATCTGGCCCCTTTGGGGTTCTAAGAAGTCTTCTGACGTTTGTGACAGATTGTTTGTGCTAAGGTTCTTACCACCTATTGTTGGTCTGTTTTCTAAAGCTTCTGTGTGCCAGTCCTTGAGGTAGCTAGTTACCAACTGGTCTTGGACAAGATCCTTGGGGCATGTTAACTAGGTCCAGACATCAAAGCCAAACCACCAGCAACAGAGGCTCCACACAAAGACTGGATGTGCTGGAATCTGCTCGCAGCTGTAGAAGAAACAAAGTAGTTGGTTCCTGAAGTAATATATTCTTTTTTTCCTTGGGCATTGCAGGTACAGGGTAACCATTAATGTTTTAAAAGCATAGTCTCAGTGATTTACAAGCTTGCTTGAATCCCAGGATGGAGAACCATTCCCTAAATAATCTTTGAAATGTATGCTCTCTCCAGCTTCTGATTTTCTAACCTTATCTCTTGAGATACGTGAGATATGTCTATCTCTGTGAAACAGAGCAAAGGAATTGGCTCGTGAGGCCAAACCGCCATATTCTCCTGCTCTAGGAACTGACTTAATTTCCAATGAAGAGCTAAATGTTGTACCTGAAACCTTGTCAATACTGGGTTGGCACCCTTAAGCTTTTTCTCTCTAGTGTAGCTTCATGTAGTAGGGGAAATAGACTGAGCCAGTTGCTCAGGTGTGAACTATTTCCTCACATAGTCTTCAAGCAGACCTAAGAACTCCCTGCCTGTATCTGGTGCTGATTAGGTGTCAAAGAGGTAATCACTTGCTTAGATTCAGACACAGCAGGTGTGAATAGATGCTTGTTCTTGGACACCGGGAAGCATTCCCAGAAAGGGTGCTGCTTGTCCCGAGAAGCCCTGTGTGAGTTCTGCAGAGCATGAGGGCCATCTGGTGCTTGAAGTAAGCACCCTGGTCAGTCCTTGCCAACATGCTGACTGCCACTAGCTGTCAGCTAAAGTGCCAAAGCACTGAGGAGATCCGTTAATGGCTTAGTTTGGGTGTTCACACTTGTATCCATATGGATAACTCCTTGTGGAAAGTCATTGGTGTGCATAATTCTGTAGGAGCATAGCAATTTTGTCACTGACTGTGTTTTAAGTACCTGAAAATTAATTCCATGCTTTGGAAAGTATAAAATATCTTCAAATGACCAAATGTTCTATCTTAGCAATGCAAGACACAGCAGAGCTGGAATTAATTCAAAGAAAGTAGAGGACAGGAAGTTCCATGGAGACAATTCCATCTTGTGACTCCCTAGATTTTAGAAAATATAGGAGTCACTAGTAAAAAAGGGGAATTCAGGACTTGCTGTTTCATACTCACCCATCTGCACTGCCATGGTTCTAACCCTCAATACAGATTAAAATGTACAGAGAGTACTATTACTGCTGACATATTATAATTTTATTAATATTTATAATAAATTAAAGACTTACAGATAAAGGACCATGGAAAAATCTCAGGAAGAGATCAGTGAAGAGTTTGGACATTGGCCTATAAATGAGGCATAAATTCGGAAAGTGAATAATGGAAAGAAAACAAGTATTGGATTGCTGAATGGACAAGGAGTATAATACACGCTGTGCTGAATGAGGTATGTGTAAAAGAGTATGAGATCATACAGGATTGTCTCATAACTTACAACATACAAGGTGGAATTGTACAGACATCCTTAGTTCTAGCACTTCCACCCATCTCTACCTGCAAAGAATCATCAAGAGAACAAGCTTGGTACTGAAGATGCAAACAAGAGCGAAGCGTGGATAAAAATGACCCAAAATAAAGATAAGCTTAATAACTGTCACAGGTTTGATGAAGTGCATGGAGATGTACCCAGGCTAGCTTTAAGCCATCTTGTTTAAGGCAGAGCACCAGACTGCTCAAATACTAGCCAGCTTTCTGCACAGCTTTTGCAGCAGGTACTAGCTGCAACTACTATGCTGGCCTAGCTTCAGCTACCAACATGTTGAGATCAGAAACCACAATTAATCCCCACTTTCACATCTGGTTGCATAACAGAGGCAAATCCTGAAACCCTCAAACTGTGGAATATCTGGAATTTATACATTTACCCCGGAAGAATTTCTTTGCTTGAAGTATAAATTGCTAATACCTGCAATAGGAAAAAGAAAACAATCTGTTGTGTCAACAGAGCATGAAGAAATGTCATTTCATTTTGCTGCAAGGAACTGAGAGCAAGAATTCACAAGTAACAACGTGTTTCTGCAGAGATGTGCACCTGTGAAGTTGTCGTCATATTTAATTAACATGGTGACAATGAAGAATTTAACCCAGCATTTTCTTCCTACTCACTGTTTGGCTGACAGAGAATGAAGACAGGGAGTAACCTCTTTCCATGCTTGTGTGTGCTCAGGTATTGCAAGTGCAAGGTGGTTGCATAAGAGTGATTTTACAATTCGTAGGCATTGAATGACCAGCTGTTTTGACATGCAATGGCAATTATCTTGTGTTAGTGAAGGTGGATCTGTTCTAACGAGCAATATAACAACTCAGCTGACATTTTTCTTTTCCTTTGTGTTTTGTATCTTTGCAGAAATAGTTCAATAGTTCATTCACAGAAATTGTTTAGCCTGGAGAAGAGAAGGCTCCAAGGGAAGCCTTAGAGCAGCTTCCAGTGCATAAAAGGGCTAAAAGAAACCTGGAGAGGGGCTTTGGACAAGGGCCTGTAGGAACAGGACAAGGGCAATGGCTTTAACCTGCCAAAGGGGAGAGTGAGATGAGCTCTTAAGCAGGAGCTCTTCCCTGTGAGGGTGCTGAGGCGCTGGCACAGGGTGCCCAGAGAAGCTGTGGCTGCCCCATCCCTGCAGTGTTCAAGGCCAGGTTGGACACAGTATCACAGTATCACAGTGTGCTAGAGATTGGAAGGGACCTCAAAAGATCATCTAGTCCAACCCCCCTGCCGGAGCAGGAACACCTAGATAACGTTACACAGGAATGTGTCCAGGCGGGTTTTGAATGTCTCCAGGGAAGGAGACTCCACAACCTCCCTGGGCAGCCTGTTCCAGTGTTCCGTCACCCTCACTGAGAAGAACTTTCTTCTCAAGTTGAAGTGGAACCTCTTGTGTTCCAGTTTGTACCCATTACCCCTTGTCCTATCATTGTTTGCCACTGAGTAGAGCCTGGCTCCATCCTCGTGACACTCCCCCTTTATATATTTATAGACACTTATAAGGTCACCCCTCAGTCTCCTCTTCTCCAAACTATAGAGACCCAGCTCCCTCAGTCTTTCCTCATAAGGGAGATGCTCCACTCCCTTAATCATCTTTGTTGTCCTGTGCTCGACTCTCTCCAGCAGCTCCCTGTCCTTCTTGAACTGAGGGGCCCAGAACTGGACACAATATTCCAGATGGGGTCTCACCAGGGCAGAGTAGAGGGGAAGGAGGACCTCTCTCGACCTACTAACCACCCCCCTTCTAATGCACCCCAGGATGCCATCGGCCTTCTTAGCCACAAGGGCACAGTGTTGGCTCATGATCATCCTGTCGTCCACTAGGACCTCCAGGTCCCTCTCCCCTACACTGCTCTCTAACAGGTCGTTCCCCAACCTATACTGGAACCTGGGGTTGTTCCTGCCCAGATGCAGGACTCTACACTTTCCTTTGTTATATTTCATCAAGTTATTCCCTGCCCAACTCTCCAGCCTGTCCAGGTCTCGCTGGATGGCAGCACAGCCTTCTGGCGTGTCAGCCACTCCTCCCAGCTTAGTGTCATCAGCAAACTTGCTGATAGTACACTCAATTCCCTCGTCTAAATCATTGATGAATATATTAAATAATACCGGTCCCAGTACTGACCCTTGAGGCACTCCACTAGTTACAGGCCTCCAACTAGACTCCGCCCCATAGACTACAACTCTCTGGCTTCTCTCCTTCAGCCAGTTCACAGTCCACCTCACTACCTGATCATCC